AAACAGGCAGGATCTGTCCCAGGATGGAACATCTATTCAAAAGCCCCTCTGGCAATTGACTTCTCCCAGGCCACACAGCGGGATACTATGGAGGGGAAAGGAAGGCTGGGGAATTCTAAGAGCCTGGTATAAAGTGGGCCAGGACACCAGGGTGTCAAGGAGTCTTCATTTTAAAATGAAAGAAGGATCTCAGGTAGAGGAATCTGCTCCTAGAAGTGGAGTTAATTTCCAGATTTGTATTTGGAAATCACCTGCCCAGTGCTAAGCAAGAATGTAGTGGTGATAGAAGGAGCATTAAGTAAACATGAGAAATGATCACAACTGCAAAGCCTGGGACAAGAGGAGAACCTGGTCCTGGTTCTCCTTGACTGGGGACACCACTATATCTAGTGTGATTTGGTCATTTACTTCTATTCAGTAAGACTTTCAGTTGTTTAGTGACTTAGGTGAGTTAGTTCACTCTCACCACCTTTTGTTTCCCACCTAGAAAATGAGAATAATAATACCTACTTCATAGGGTTATTATGAGAACTAAATTAGCAATTAAAGTAAATCACCTGGTACAGTACCCAGCACATTATTCTCCTTCTTATTTTTATTTATGTCATGACCAATATCTTCCCCTTCAATTCCCGTGTGCACAGTGTTGTGACCCCAGCTCCTGAGTCACACCACATCAGGGAGCCCTGCAAGCATGCTCACCACTAGATCCTAGACAATGCATCATAAAGAATATAGCAAGCAGATGCTGCAAAGTTTTTTTCACCTTATGCTAGTTACCTATGCACGCTTTTTATTCACCTGTCCATTCTTGAGGACAGATACTGGGTATTATCATGTGCAATCTGTAGAATAAAATGGGTATGAAATTGGAGTCAGAGACTCCTCGTTTTGAATCATAGGCCACTTAGAAGGTACATGATGCTGGACAAGTTACTTACCTATTCCTAGCACGTTTTCTCTTTAATAATAGGAATATGAGACCTTCTTGGGTCCTTTCGAAGATTACTTACAGTGCTATTAAAGTGCTAGTCCTGCCTGACATGTAACAGTAACCAATAGATGGGCAATGCTATCATTATTATGGAACACTCAGCACAGACTGAGTACTAACAACATATTCAGTGAATTAATGAAGTGACCCCACATAATATCTTCATGGCACCTTCCATTGCTAATGGACCCTTCAGCAAAACACACCCTGCAAGACCATCTAGTACAATGATCTATTTTATAGAGAGAAAAACTGAAGCCCAGCCAGAGAACATAACTGGTAGGGTGCCCAGCAGACAAAGCCAGAACCCAGGATTTTGGACTCAATATCCTGAGCTATCCCCACCATCCTGTGACATGCTTTCTTGAAAGGTGTCATTCATAATGTCTTCTAAGTCATTTAGGGATTTCACTTCCCATGCTCTTTCACCAAGAGAAGCCAAGTCCTGAGATCTTCAGGTGGGCCCATGAGGAGTGGCTGGTTAAGCTGAGCAGAGTCTAGTGCTCCTGGGGCAAAAGAAACAGATTGCAGATTCCTCTACTGCCCTGACAGCAAATGCCATTGTTTGATGTCCCTGCTCTGCGTAGGAAGAGGATAGCAAAGTCCACCTGGTTTCTTAGCTGTTTCAAAGTAAACCTTTGATCTATACAGATTTGTAGACAATTGGTGTCAACTCTTGGTTTCTACAATTAAATTATCCTACCCTTTTAGTTGTCCTAAATGTTCCACAGATAGGCCTTTTACATAAATATATGCAACTTGTCTATATGTGCAACAAGACTTATTAACCCCTCAGGGTAGAATCTGCCTGAAAATAGATTAAGTAGCCTCTATCTCCACCCCTCCACCCCAGGGGAAAGTGGTGTGAGGTTGCAGAAGAATCAGTGGACTGGAGCTATGAATACACAAAAATTATACACCAAGGGGTGTGTGTGTGTGTCTGTGTGTCTGTGTGTGTGTGTGTTATGATGGTGAGAGTCCCAAGATTTTATTAATACTCAAAGGGGTCCATTAGTACCCCAAACGTGTTGAAATTCTAAACATTTATTATCTGCTCTTGTCTTTTTTCCAAGTCTTAGAATTGGGAAAAAGTAGAGGTAGAGTGCTTGATAGCTTTTCCCCAGACAGGGAGAAGTCCCTGTTGGACCAGGATCTTCAGGCTCCTGCCTCAAGTCTAATCCACTCAAGACTGCAAGGGTGGCTTTCCTGGTAGGGGAAACTGGTGGCAGAGACTCAAGCCCATCAGAGGCAACAGTCTCTGAGGCTTCAGGCAACAGAGCCTGAGGACTCTGTAGCAGGTGAAACTCTAGAAGAGAGTCTTCCTAGAAGCCCCAGGTTGAAGGATAAGCATGCCTGTGGCTTCCTAGGGGTAACCTGTAGGGAGACAGCCTAGGACAAGATGTGAAAATACCTTTCCCAAGAAGGACAAAAGGACCTGGAGCAGTCTGGTGCAAGAGACTGCTGAACGTGGAATCAGATTTGTGTAGGAAAGGGAAAACAAGGATTAAGTAAAAGGAAGGTTTAGACCAAAGTGGACAAGGGAATAAAACCAAAAAACCCAAGAAAGCAAGCTACTATGTTTTTGAATAATGCACAAAACAACAGAAGACGGAGCTCTGTAAAGTTAGAAAATCTTTCCTGAAAATAGCCTTAGTCTAAAAGTTCAGGAAAGCAAATTTCACATAAAATTCAGTAACCAAAAGTACTGCGGTCAAATACTATACAAAGTTATTACAGAAAATTAAATAAGAAGAAAAATAACATATCTACAGACAATGAAAGCATGCCAGAAAGACATAGCCTCATATCTAAAATCTATAACCTACACAAAAGTATGGAGAGAGCTAGAAACAGTAGAGATGTGGGTAAATATTATAAGATTTTTTTCATTTTTAAATTTCTTTAAAAGGTAATTGACAGCTTGATGTAAAAATAAAATATGATGTAAAAATATACTGTGGAGTTTCTAACATATGTAGAAGTAAAATGTATGATAGTAAGAGCACAAAAGATAAAACAGGGAAATCAGTGGGGTAGTACAGCCAGCTTGTGATGGCTTGCAAAGGCTGATTGTGTGTATCTCTACTCAACTCTGAATTCATTGACATTACTTTGGTAGCTTGAAATCATCCATGGCGAGAGTACATACTCCATGAAACTGGCAAATGACACAAATCAAGGCTTTTTTTACCTTGAAGATCTGGTTGTTAAAAGTTTATCCACACATCACTGGGGAAAGTGAAGCTGTACAGGATCTTATGTTAGACACAAAGTGATATAATGTTATTTGATGCTGGTATTAAGCTAAAGATGTATATTACAAACCTTGGAGAAGATATTAAAAATAAAATAATAGCTAATAAACTAACAGAGAAGTAAAATGAAATACTAAAAATTATTCAATTAATCCAACAGAAGGCAGAAAAGAGGAAATAAGGAACAAGGAACAGATGAGAAAGATAGAAAACAAATATCAAAAATTACATTATATATAAATGAACTAAACACATCATTTAAAAGGGAAGAGAATGTCACACTGAATAAAAAAAAAAACTATGTGCTCTTTATAAGAAACCCTCCTTAATAGAAAGAAACAGATGAATTAAAAGTAAAAGAATGTAGAACAATAAACCAAGCACAAACTATCATGAGAAAGGTGGAGTGGTCATATTAATATCCAATGAAACAGACTTAAAAAGAAAAAGTATTACAGAGACAACTAGGAACATTTCATAATGGTAAGGGAGTCAATTCATCAAGAAAGCCTAATCTCCTAAATGTGTATGTAACAAAGCCTCCAAATATATAAAGCAAAATCTATTTAAACTGGAGGGAGAAATGAGCAAATCCATACTTATAGTTGGAGAGTTCAATCCTCTTCTCTCAGTAATTAATGCAAAAAGTAGATAGAAAATGAGTCAAGGCAGAGGATTTGAACAATAACTTTAGCCAACTTGACCTACTGCTACTTATAGTACTACACTACATATTACAGAACTACACCAAACAATTAAGAATACTTTTTTTTTAAGTATACATGGAACATACACCAAGATTGGTCATATGCTGGCCAAAAAAAAAAAAAAAAAGTCAATAAATTTAGCAGGATTGAAGTTATATAGAATATATATCTTCTGACCACAAAGGAATTAAATTAGAAATAAATTACAAAAGTATATCTGGAAAATTGCCAAATATTTGGAAATTACAAAGAACTTTTACATAATCAACAGATCAAAGAAGAAATCTTTGAAAAACTAGAAAAAAATGTACCTCAATGATAATGAAAATAAACATATCAAAATTTGTGGGATTCAGCTAAAGCAGTGCTTAGAGGGAAATTTATCATTTTAAATGTCTATATTAGAAAAATAAAATGGGCTAAATATTGATATAAGCTTGCACCTTAAGAATCTATGAGATTAAAAAATAATAGTGGGACTTCCCTGGTGGCACAGTGGTTAAGAATCCATCTGCCAATGCAGGGTACACGGGTTCGATCCCTGGCCCGGGAAGATCCCACATGCCGCGGAGCAACTAAGCCCATGTGCCACAACTACTGAGCCTGCGTGCTAGAGCCGGGGAGTCACAACTACTGAAGCCCCAAGCTTAGAGCCCACGCTCTGCAACAAGAGAAGCCACCTCATTGAGAAGCCCACACACCGCAATGAAGAGTAGCCCCTGCTCGCCTCAGCTAGAGAAAGCCTGAGTGCAGCAACAGAGACCCAACATAGCCAAAAATAAATAAATTAAATAAATATAAAATTTAAAAATAATAATATGAAAATTTATAAAACTAAAAATTCATTCTTTGAAAAGTTCAAGAAAATTGATAAAGCTACAGCTACACAGGTCAAGAAGAAAGAAGAAAATACAAATTACCGGTATGAAAAATAGAAGAAGAGATATCACTACACAACCTATAAATATTAAAATAATAATAAGGAAATATTTTGAGCAATTTTATGGCAAAAATAGACAATTTAGATCAAACAAATTCCTTGAAACACAAATTTTGCCGCTCTAGATTTTCACTGGTTCTTTTTGAAACCTTACACTTTTTACTTTGTTATGTTCATGTATGTATGTATGTATGTATTTTTGGCCACATGGCTTGTGGGATCTTAGTTCCCCAACCAGGGATGGAACCCGGGCCCTTGGCAGTGAAAGCTCCCAGTCCCAACTATTGGAGTGCCAGGGAATTCTCTTCATGTTTTCATTTAAATCCTTGTGCCTGTTTATAACAACTGTTTAAAGTTAATTGTCTGAATACCATCATCTCTGTGGTTTCTAGGTGAGTTTCTACTGGTTGATTTTTCTGATGACTCTGGGTCACATTTTGTGCTTCTTTGCACATCTGGTAATCTTTGTATCTGATGCTGGATATTATGCATGTCACACTGTTGAATATTTAGATTTTGTTGTATTCCTTTAGTGAGTATTGAGGTTTATTTTAGAGGGCAGTCAGGTGACTTGCAGATCTGCTTGATCTCACCAAGGCTAGTGTCACTCTCAGTAAGGGCAGTTATGGAGCAGCCCTTAGTCTACAGCTATTTCAGCCCCAGCTGCCTTCAGAGAAAAGCTTAGGTGTTCAGTGAGGTCTCTTCACACTGGTTGGTAGGAACGTGATTGACTCCTGGCCCCATGGGAGCCCTGGGCATTGTTCAGCTTATGGGCCTCTCACAGTCATTCTTTGCCTAGCCTGACGGACTTCAGTTTCATTCTATACACAAGCAGATTAGTATTTTGCCAAACATTTCAAGGAGACTCCTGTACAGATCTCTCTGTATACAAATTCCAGTCACTCTGGCTTCCCCAAACTCCTATCTCTGTTTCCTCAACTCAGTGTGATGGGCTCTCTTGGGTTCCTGCTCCCTTTGCCATGATCTGGAAATTTCCTCTAAGGAAAAAGTAAGGTCATCACTCTGCACACCTCTTTTCTTTTCCTTCTTTCAAGGATCATAGTCCTGCACTGTTATAGCCCAATGTTTGAGAACATTTGTTTCATGTATTTTTTCCAGTTTTTTAGTTGTTTATGGAAGGACAGCAAATCCTGTACTGGTTACTCATTCACAGGCAGAAGCAGAAGTCCATACACCAAACTGACACTTCACAATATATAACTTGGGTTCCCATGCAGCATTTATTGAGGCACTACCATAGGCTGGAATCATGGTAATAATAGATAAGGCAAAATCTCTGATAAGAAACTGACTTAAATGAGTGTAAATCACACTTCTAGGAAATATACTGCAAAAAGGTAGTAGGATGAGATTTTTGCGGTAATTTTCATATTTTTCAATTAATCTGATCAGGAGTTTGATTCCGCTTGACATTATGGATTTTAAATGCTCAAATATATTTTCAAAATGCAGAAACTCATTCCTTATCAGTCCTTGATACTGCACACACTAATGCTTTTTTTGCACACTCAGACTCCCTTCAGACAGATTTATTGCTTAAATGTTATTTAAGTGACTCGTGGGTAAAACCATCAAACAATAGGGAGGGAAGTTGAGCTAGTATGGTAGAGGTCTAAAAAAAGATATAATTTAAAACATACTAAATTCAGAAGCACAATTCTAGTATAAACAAACCATTTTCTGCCCCTGCCAAAATCTGAGAACATTTCATGAAGTTTTCTGAAAGACACAATAATTTTTATTCATTTTATTTTTTGCATCAGTTACAGGACACACTTATAAAGATTAACTGATATTAACACAGACCCACCATGCAGACAAGTGAGAATGTGGCCCCACTGGATTTGCAGGCTCTGAGCATCTCTGCGGTTGCCCACTTGGATCAATTTTTAATTTCCATGGAATGTGCAGGCATCCAGAAGTTCTGTGAGAGGTAACATAAGAGAAAGACCGTCAGGTACTACCTGTGCTTATTAAGTATGATGCTCTTCCTATCTTCTAAAAGTAAATGGTAGGTAATGAAGATTTTTTTTAAAAAATCTCTCTCTCTCTCCTCTAACTGATGTCAGTGCTATCCTTAAACATCTACATTTTCCTCTCCTCCTATTCTCCACGTCTCTAACACATGATATAATTTAACAAAAATTCAGGCACACTCCCAATAATTTGATTATTCCAGCTCTAATTTTATTTCTCCAACTTATTTTTTTTGAGGCAGCTATGCCATGTCTATAGTACATAGAAATAGAGAGAAATGACTTACTTAGTGCCACTTCTACATATGTATATATGTAGAGGTGGCCTGCTTAGGCTAACAACACTTGTTTATTTTAATATTAATTATACATTTTATTTAAAATCTTTGAAAATTGATCCACTATGAGTGGTATGTATGTGTTATTTCCAACCTCCTCCCTACACTGAAGTGCTCCCACACACAGACATTTTCATTCTATTAGCCAAAAAATGGAAATATACATGTAAACAAGTTCAATTTCCAAATGATCTTCAGTTCTGTTGCACTCTCTGGCTCCTTCAAATGATTTGGCCTTTTCAGTTAGTGTCTTATACTGTGGCCTAATTGACTGCCTCCCTGGTAAGCCTGAATCCTCTTGCAGGGCCAGGAGCAAGCCTTCCTAATCTTTGTGTCCTATTCGTACTGGCCCAGGCTTGGCACACTGTCGTCCTTAAGACAAACATGTTTACCTTGACCCCCACGTTATTGCTCCTTGGTGTTTATTCTACTCACCAGAGTGTAAGCACTGTCTCATGTTAGCAATAGCATGAAGATACTCTGGCCCTAAGTATTTTTGATAAGTTGTTCTGTCCTGAAGGTTAGTCAAACATTCTGTATCATCGCTGAAGAGCAGATCCTTGCTTGAGGATTTGAACAGCTGGAACATCATGTATTCAAACCCGTTTCTTCCAAAGAGCTCCTGGGTTAGACAGACAGACAGCGAGTGACCAGCAGCACTGGGCAGCACGGAGCTGTGTGTTCTGCTTCAGAAGCCCCGAGTCTGCTGGACTGCTCAGCGCCAGGCCCTAGGAGACCTGGGACACAGAGACAGCTTAGGAGGTACCGTAGTAAAATGGCACAAAGCATGGCCTCTGGGTTCAAATCCAGGCCCTAGCTTTTCCTGTCGAGTGACATTAAGAAAATTCTTGACGGAGCTCAGTGAACCTCAGTTTACTCATTTGTATATGGAGGTAATTATGCTAAATACTGAGATGATGTATGTAAAGCAACTGCTAAATAGAAAGAGCTCCAAGTTCACAGCTGTATCACTATCCCAACCAATCACTGCCAGATGTTTTCAACTCTCTGGGTCATCCTTCCATGTCTTCCTGTGGCCGGAGCCCTTACTACCTTGCCTCTTCTGTTCTCTGGACCTGCCCCAGGCACTGACCCTGCCCCTCCCCCGCTTCTTGCCCCTCCCCCCTTCCTTTGTCCACTTTCCTTGTAGCCCAGGTGACAGCTTGCTCTGTGTGGGACCCATCCCTTCAAAAGTCCATGACCAAGAGCCTCTGTATTTCCACCTGTCCCTGGGTCATCACCTTTTAACTGGGATGTGTGGGCAGAATGTGCTAAGATATGTATGACTCATTTGGGGCTCCTCCAGGAATGGGGTGTGCTAGGGCAAAAGGCAGACAAGGCTCTGGGTTTCCTTAAGATCATCTGATTCAGACAGCCACTACTTCATAGGGTCATCCCTTGTTGGCTGCCTGTAGAGGTCATGAGTTGTCTGAATGTTGGCTCTTCGACTTTCACGAAGCCAAAACAGTCTCAGCCTACCCAGGTCCAGGAAACACACTGGGATCCTCCCTAGGTCACACAGAGTAACCTCCGTTCTGCCTTTTCCACATGTAGCCCAGCCTACTGTGAAGGGCACAGGGCCAACTCCCTTATTTCTGTGACAGAACAAGCCCAAGAGGTACCACGACTCTGCTTAGAGAGTCAAGTGAGTCTCAGGGAGACGCTTGAGATACCCATGCGTCTGGGACTCTTCCAGTCCACTGTGATATCCTAGACAGCCCCAGAGCAAGAAGTGAGCGCAGCCGCCAGCCTTCCGCATTCATCAGAGTCAGGGCCCACTGCCGAGGGAGAAAGGGCATGCGACTGGGATGTGGCCTGTGCAGCTCTGCAAGTAACCTAAGCATTCGTTTCGGGGATGAGGACTGAATTCCCACACCTGTTGATTGAAGAGCATTCTGCGGACAAAATCCGCCTTATCTTTCCTTGAGACCACAGCATGACTTGGGGCTATGGCCAGGTGGCAGCTCTGAGCCTCGGTCACAGGCTTCCTGGTGCCATCGAGGCACAGCAGCTGGAAGTCCTCCTGCTTCAGATCCTTCGCCCAGGCTTCAGGGTTCTTTCCTGGGGAGAGAGAGGAGGTGGACGGGCTACAGCTGACAGCTTTGGTCAAGGCACCCTCAATGGGGGGTGTGACCGACCACCAGTGCCTGGGAGAATCACAGAGGCGCAAAAAAAACCAATAAAGCCTTTACAATAAAGCAGAAGAGCAACATTCATAAACTCATAGATTCTCTTAAAGGCAAAGATTTCTTCAACAGACCTGAAAAGCACTAGGCAGAAAGGAGAATATTGATGGATTGAACCACACTAAAATGAAGAATGTTTATCAAAAGACATCATCAAGAAAGTGAAAGGCAAGCCTTTTCAGAGAGGGACAAGATATTTGCAATACACATAGCTGACAAAAACTTGTATCCTGAACGCCTAAAAATCAAGACAGCCAGATGTGCTCATATGGACTGTGGCAGCTGTGTGTTTGTCAGTTGAGTTCAAGACCAATGTGATAACCAACCCTGTCAAGTCTGCCCAGACATGAAGAATTTTCTCATTCCCTAAATAAAAAAGGTTAGACCAAAGTCACCAGAGTCTGATGGGGTTAATAAACTTCCCCCTTGCCCATCTGGGGAATGATTTCCCAGGAAGGACTCTGAGTTTTCCGAGAAAGGAAAGGACAGCGTAGGCGCCTACCGTCAGTGTTCTGCAGGACCGTGTGATACTTCACAAAGGCCACGTCTCCCTTCTCAACCAGACACCTGCACAGAGAGGGTCAGGTCAGCAAGGAGGACTTACAGCAGTGGGAGGGAGAGGCTCCAAGAGGGAACCACTGGGAGCTCCCAGCCCTACCCCGGGCCACTTACACCACACACGCTCCTGTGATGCCTGCTGTCCCTGGGGACTCAAGGGGAAATGCCGTGGGAAAATAGAAGTCTGCTTATTTAGATTCTGTTGTAGATACCTATTGTTTGGTTCCTTGTTTTAAACACTGATTGGTTTCTCCACAAGAGCTGCTTGTGTTCTCCTATGAATAGGGATATCCAAGGATAATTCTCTGGTTGGATCAAAACACACATCAGAGATTAAAATCAGCGTAAGATGTGATTCTGAAGGAGTCCTATCACATCCATATGTCTACTCAGCCTTAACAAAAGTTAATGTGCATCATGAGATATTTTTCATGCTTAATCCCCTGAAAAATGTTTCTGTGTGTTTAAGGTGCATTGTTTTTTGTTTGTTTGTTTTTTTTTTTTGGTGATACACGGGCCTCTCACTGTTGTGGCCTCTCCCGTTGCAGAGCACAGGCTCCGGACGCTCAGGCTCAGCGGCCATGGCTCACGGGCCCAGCTGCTCTGCGGCATGTGGGATCTTCCCAGACCGGGGCACGAACCCGTGTCCCCTGCATCGGCAGGCAGACGCTCAACCACTGCGCCACCAGGGAAGCCCTAAGGTGCATTCTTTGTGAGAAATGTTGAGCGCGTTAAAAATCAGTTTTGTGACATTCAATCAGTTGGAATTGATCCAGTTCTCTCTCTCTCCTAATCTTCGGGTCCCTCTATCATTAGCTAGGCTCAGCTACTCCGTTCAATTCTCCATCTTGCTCTATTTCCTTGCTTCAACACCATGCCCTCCACCCTGGCCTGATCGTCTCAGTCCTGAAAGAGCCTGATCGTCTGCCTCAGGTGTGTCTGCACCTCGGCAGTGAGGTAAACCAGAGCTTCCCGATCGTTGACTTCACCTGGGCATTCCTGTTGTCCCTTCTCTGCTCTAGATCTGTGATTCTCCAAGTGTGGGCTGGACCGGCAGCATCAGCACCAGTGGGAACTGGTTAGAAATGCACGTTCTCGGGCCCCACCCCAGACCTACTGGCTCAGGAATTCTGGGGGTGGGGTCCAGCCATCGGTGTTTTAACAAGCTCTCTGGGAGATTCTGATTTGTGCTCAAGTGTGAAACAGTGCCCCCTCACCCCCGCTCTATAGAGCTTGAGACAGCACCCCCTCAACTCTATAGAGCATGGACTCCAAAACGTTCTCCCACTTTCTGTAAACCTCTGTCTCTCCACACACCCCTACCCAACACTCACACTCTGACATGTGCTTTGGCTTCCCAGAGGAAACACAGAAATCATCACTTGGGCTTCCTTTCAGCATCCTTCTGCCAAATCTGGCAGCCCAAGGCTCCAGCACGCTCCTGCCCTCCAGGGACACAGGAGGAGGGAAGGTCTCTCTCCAGCAAAAGTCTCCTCCCTGGGTGGTCTGCACCTCACCCACGCTCAGGCACTTTCCACTGTAGTCATCCTCTTTCTCTTCTATAACCCTCTTCACTCTTCTCATCAGCTTCCACACTTCTTGTAAAAACAAACAATAAGCCCTGCCTTGACCCCACACTGCCCTTAACAATGGGCCTCTCTCCAGGACTCATCCAAACACCTGAAGGGATCATCGCACTTGCCATCAGCACCCCTGCACATGACTCTCTGACCCTTGCCAGTCATCTTAGGGGACTGACTCAGTATTGAATCTCCTCCCGCCCAGGTCACCAGATCCAGGAGCTAGGTTCACTGTACTCATTTTATTTGATCTCTCAAGTCCATCCTTTCCCCAGTGATCTGAAATGTCATCTTTGTTTTAGATTAAATATAGTATGTCCATGTACCTGTCTTGGAAATTTTTTCTCTTCCACTGATTTATTTGTCATTTTTCACATAAACCAGCCTGTATTGCTCACAGCATTACTATATTAAGTAGTATTATAATATTATTTTTATACCTAAGAAAACAAAATTCCCTTTGTATAATTTTATTTTTAAATTCTTGGCGTTTGTTCAGTCTACCTAGCTTTACTACTTTTTTGAGTACTAACCCCCCCCGCCCCATCTGCTTTAATCCATCTGGTCGCAGCAGAGGCAGCTGGAACTTCACGATGCAACTTCACAGCATGAGTTATGTGAGCGGGAAACTTTCACCTGAACTGGGCTGACAATCCTATGTCCTGGGACCTGGGACTAATACGTTATGGTCTGTGTTTGCTTCTTTATAACTAAAGACCTGTAACAATGCTGGGGCTGCTGGTCACAGACATTCCCTCTGTGTAGACTGAGAAACAGAGAAAACCACCCTGCGGGGAAAGAGAAATGAGGCAGATGTGCAGAGAGAGAGAGAGAGAGAGAGAGAGAGGAGAAGCAGAGTGCTAAAAATTCATTCATCATTTATCTGGAATTCTAATTTAACTGGATGACCTGAATTTTACCTGGCAACCCTCGCCTTAAAGTATCTTGGCTACTCCTGAGGCTCAGGTCTCAGCCCTTACAAGGAGAAAGCTCCCACAGCACCTGTTAAAATATGCCCTTGCCTTAAGATGGTTCATATGGGTGTTTTCGCTTGCAACCAAAGTCCTCATTCACTTTATTAAAGAAAAAAGATGTGAACCAAGATCAGCAGATAAAATGTATAGTATTCTAGAGAGTAAAAAGTGCTAAAGAAAACATAAAGCAAGAAAGGCGGATATGAAATATTGGCAAGGGTATGTGTGTAAAATCAGAGAGTGGCCAGGAAAGACTTCCCTGAGAAATCTTAAAGGAAATGAGGGAACTAGCCATGATGCTATGAGAAGAAGGAGCACTGCAGGTGGGGGTAAGAGCAAGTGCAAAGGCCCTGAGGCAGGAGTGTGCCTGATATCTTCAAGAAACAGCTGTGACGCCAAGATCACAGATGAAGCAGAGACAACAAGAAGAAAGATGTAGGAGATGAGGTCACACAGAGCCTTCCCAGATCTCAAAGGGACCACACAGGTCAAAGAAGGACCCTGACTTTTACTCTGAGTAATATGGAAAATTACTGGGGGGCTTTAAGCAGAGAAATGCTTTAAACAGAATCACTCTCGTTGCTGTGTTGAGACAACACAGCAACGAGAGTGGGGGAGGAGGATAGGACAGATGCATGGAGATCTGTTGGGGGTTATAATCCAGGGAGAGATGATGGTGGTTTAGATCAAGGTGGTATCACTGGAGATGGGTGATGAGGACAATTCTCGTTACCCTTTGCAGGCAGAGCTAACATGATTTGATGATGACCCAGACGTGGGGTTTGAAAGACAGAGAGTAGACACGGTTATCACACACCAAGGCTTTGACTTTTTCCTAAAGGAAAAACGGAGTTACCTTTAACTGAGATGGCGAAGACCTCAGGAGGTACTGGTTTGGGTGGGAGTGTGTAAATTCCAAAAGGTCAGCTTGGGACATTTAAACTTGACCTGCGGATTAGAAACCAAGTGGACATGCCCAGGAGGCAGTTGGATATATGCGTTTGGAGTTTCATCTGGAGTTTTGAAGAGATGTCTGAACAGGAACATAAATTTGGGAATTGTCAGCATATAGATAGATCGAGACTAGATAAAACCACCAAGGTCTGAGCATGAAGAGAGAAGACCAATGCTGGAGCCCTGGGGCACACCAACTTGTACAGGTTGGGCAATGAGGTAGAGCCAGCAAAGAGGCCGAGATGCAGTAACAGGAGAGGGAGGAGGGAATCCAAGAAAGTGTGGGGTCCTGAAGCCAGGCAAGAAAATGTATGCAAGTGGGGGAAGAGATCGGTGGTGTCGATGATCTGGGCTTTGGATTTATTTAACAACACAGAGGTCCCTGGCAATTTAAAAGTGCAGTTTCAGCTGCGTGGTGGGTGGTGGTATACAGGGGAGGGGGTTGGGAGGCGGGGAGTGGGGAGGTATGGTGGGAGTAGTCTTCTCACGTGCCAACAGTAAGGAGGAATGTTTTCTGTAGATAATTTAAATACAATAATAAAACCAACTCCACTGGTTGGGGTGGGGGAGGTGAACAGATTCCTAAACTAGGCTTTGGGGAGATTGAAAGGAGAGAAAGTGAACCGAGCAAGGACATTAAAATATCCTCCTTCAAGGAATTTTGTTATAAAGAGGAGAGAAATGGAAAGCTGCTGCAGAGGAAAGTGAGGTCAAGAGAGGTTTTACTTATTTCTTTATGTTTAAGGTGAGAAAACAGCAGCATGTTTGTATGCTGATGGAAATGATCCCGTAGAGAATAAGATGTGAGAACACAGGAGAAAAGAGGGGGAGGAGCGCTGGGGCAACGCCCTTGAGCGGGCTGCCTGCCGGAGACAATCGCTGCAGATGCAGGGCTGGGCTCGGTGAGGAGATGGCCCGCTCCTCCCCAGTAAAAGGAGGGAGGGCAGCGTCCAGGGGCGCACACATGCCAGCACTCGGCAGATGTGGCGGTGGGACGTTGTGGAGTTTCTCTTTTGATTGCTTCAATTTTCTCAGGTGAAATAGGAAACAAAGGTGTGACAGATGGAGGAATAAGTGTTGGAGGATTGAGGAGAGGAAAGAGTATGGAATGGTCTTGTAGGAGCGTGGGGTAGTAACGGACTAGAGACTTCTGGCTCATCTGAGCTGGGTTCGCATTACTTTAAAGGGAGGCCAGTCAGCCTGGAGGCGCTGGCACCGAAGTAGAATGTTGCACCCAACCCAGGTCGAGGTTCAGCCAGGAGAGATGACCGGCATTTGAGGATGTGCCCAGGGGAATAATTATCACGGTTGGCTGTGGAATGTATGCTGCATCTGGAGGGGGAAAAGGACATGAGGGTGGGTGTGAACAGGATCAACGGACCTCAGGTCAGTAGGAATGGTGGAGCCGGGAAGCTAGAAGGCGTGCAAAGGCAGGCAGGTGGTGGCGGGCAGGATGAGATGTCTAGAGCTAAGATTGTTTTTCGTGTGCTCGTCTGCACTTTGGAACTTCCGTGGTTCTGGATAGAACTCCGAGGACAGAATTCTAGGTCTCTGTGATTCTACTGTAATCATACCAAAATGGGACCATGGACCCTAATACCAATGTACTTCCCAGTGTAAAGAGAAGTTCAACTATTTTAGCCTAGGTTTAATGTTCAGCATATATTTTTGTAGTGGGGTCTGTGAAAATATGTAATTTATGTACGGCTTATGAAAGTGACCAAACTTTGGAGAGGGAGGGACGAAGCAGTCTGGCAGTGTGATGAGTAGAAGGCTCCTTTCTAGAGACTCACGTGTTCTCCACACCACCCTAACTCCACAGGGTGCCCTTCATACTGAGAATTAACTCTACCTCCTTAGCCAGGCCCTCAAGGCACCGAGACAGCCAATGCCTGCAGCTCCAGCCTCCTCCCTCACCTGATCCCCTCCCTCCCAATGCTCTACTCTGGCGCCTTCTCTGGCCTCAAATATGGCATCATTTGTCCAGCCCCAGCCTTTGTCCTTGCTGTTCCTTCTTCCTGGATTACTCTTCTCCATATTTTCTCAGGCCTGATTCCCTCTCAACATTTTACCCTCAGTTCACATGGCCCCTCTGATCCTGAGGCCTTCCCTGACCACCTTTTCTAAGATTGTCCCTGAGTCACTGCCATATCACCCCCCCTTGGTCACCACCACCACCCCCAGCACTTATCACAGTCAGGAAGTGATTGTGCTTTAAGTATTTATTGTCTTACTCTCCCCACGGTGTGTCTTGCTGTTGCTCTAACCTCTCTACTTAGAATAGTGCCTGCCACATACTAGGTGCTCAATAAATATTTCTTGAATGGATGGAGGAGCCCAGGAATATGTGTTTTTAAATATACTCTTCAACCAGGTGTAAGAAGCATGTAGCCGGTGTCCTTCCTTTGATCTTAAACTGGGTCTCTGAAAGATCCTGTGACTTGTCCACAATCACACAGAAGAACAGATCAAAAGTAGAAGCAGGGTTGTGACCTGTGTCCATCAGTCTTGCCTCTCCCCAGGTGCCCTGAGTCCGCTGGCTCTGCCCAAGAGTGCTCCAGGAAGGGGCTGGGCTTGAGTCCTCAGGGCCCCTGGGAATCTGCAGTTCTGTTCTCTAATTCTGGCTCCTCCTAAATGCAGCACCCAGATGGTGGGATGATGAGAGAGGTGAAAGGGCAGGAAGTTCACCAGGCTGGTGCCAAAGCGAAAGGTGGTGGACAGATGCTACTTGCCTGAGAGCCCCACTCGAGCCGTAGTACCCCTCGTGGCTGTTGGGAGCACACGTGTGGGCTGGCGTGCCACTGCCATTGCACAGGGCACAGAGACTGGACGCTGGATCAGACCCAGGGGCACAGCTTTGACTGAAGAATTCATCTGCGCAGGAGGACACGAGAGGTCAGCTCTTCCTGCCTGTGTTGGCAAGAAAGCCTCAGACTTTGTTCCTAAAATTGCCTGAGTGACATAAAGACACACTCAGGTATTTAGTACCATATGATTAGAAACAAGAAGCTTATGGAATTTAAAAAAAAAAAAGGTTGCAGCTGAAACAGAGTAAAGGGGGCCTGGCTGAAGCTGGGACAAGGGTCTTTGAGATCACAGCAGTCCCGGCACAGGTCAGTGGTGTGGACGGGTGGACACAGGTTTAGCCCTAAGAGAGTGGACAAAATTGGAAGTCCTAGGTGGTTGAACCTGTCCTGTATGCTTTCCGATCTCTAATGCACTTGTCCATCTTTACAAGTCTGCCATCATGACTCAAAGGCCAGGAAGGGGCCCAAGAGGCCCAGCTGCCCACCCCTGTGCTGAGCCCCAGGGCACTGTGGTGAGGAAACCACACAAGCCCCGCCCTCCTGGACCCCAAGTTTCTGTGGTGACAGTCACGACTCAAGTAACCACGCCAGTGAATTTATGTTTCCCTATCATCGTGTTTCCCCACCGTGCTCTGGGAAAAAGAACATAGTTCCACGGCTACAGATAAAGGAACCTGGTACATACCTGGGAGTCAGGGAGAGGCCTGAAGTGGACAGATGAAGGATGAATAGGAATTACCCAAGTGAAGGGCAAAGGGACGAGTTTTCCAGACAGGGAGCAGCATCTGCAAAGGCCTAGGGCAGGAGTTGGGGGAGGGAGCAAACAGCACAGAGAGCTTAATGGAGGCCATCGGTCCTGGACCACCCAGTGGTCCAGTGAGTGGGAGGGGTCAGGGTCCAGACCACATGTGATATTTTACACCTTTGTGTATATTTTGTTCTTTATTTGCAGAGAAATGGGGAGCCTCTGAAGGGCTTTAGACAATGTTGGGCCAGGGGTCTAGCAGCAGGGTGAGCCAGGACAGATGTGGGGTGTAGGCAGCAGGCTACTGCAGGGGTCCAGGGGACATGAGGGCAGCTTGAAGTAGCACAAAGGGGAGGGAGGAGCTACGTGGAAGGAGGAGAAGCTGATATCACTGGTGATGGACAGGTGTGTGGTGGCTGGCAGACTCATTTCCAGCTGGGGCCAGTGGATGGACTGTGGGGGGGCCTCCACCAAGCTAGGCAGCTCTGGAGCAGGGCCAGGATCGGCAGAGATGATGCATTCCATGTTGTACAGGTTGAGTTTAATGTACTTTTTGAAATACTGGACTAGATAATGTCAAACAAGCAGTTCAATATACATAGGTTTGGAGAGCAAGGAGAGATCTGTGCCAGGGACAAAAACTTGACAGTTATCAGCATATAGACACAATAATCGTACAGCAGCAAACTTATCTAGTGCTTGCTATGTGCCTAGCTTTGTACGTATAATGTTTGTTTAGATCGTTATCTAGGCTATAGGCATGGATGTGAGGGCTTGGGGGTTGAGTTTAGAGTGGGGAAAAAAGTTGCTTTAAGCAACTCAAACATTTATTAACCAGGTGGGAAAGGGACTTTGTAGGGGTAGGAGAAAAAAGAAGCCAGTGTGTTTTCACAAAAGCCAGGAGATGGTGGTTTAAGGTGATCTGAAGCAGGAAAGGTCATGGAAGCACAGACTGGAGCCCATCCTTCCAGTTGAGCAACATGGAGGTCCCGGTAGCCTTGACCAGAGTTCTCCCTGTGGAGCCAGGTGGAGGAGCCAGAGGGCAGTGAGTGCAGCCATGAGTGGGGTGAGTGGCTGAGACCATGATTTTATGAGGTTTGGCCATAAAGGGGAGAAAGAGAAGGCAGGAGCTGGAGGGGAATGTGGGGAGAGGGAGGGTTTTTAAAGGTGGAAGACACTGGGTGCGTTCACATGCTGAAAGAAATTGTTGGGCATACCAGAAGAAGAGGTAGTAACTGAGGGTGCAGCTCTGGGGAGGGGCGAGGCAGGGCCCACAGCCAAGTGCAGGTTGGAGGACGGGCTGCGTTGTAGAGGGAGGCTGAGCAGGTGCAGCCAGCAGGAGCCCCCAGCTTTGGCGGTGGGGTGTTGATGGGAACCTTCCTGAGGGTTTGAAGTATCTCTTGCAGGTGCAGATGAGATCATGTGCTCAGAAAGGTAGGTAAGCGTGGGATGGAAGTGTACGGACAGCTAGGACATTAGGATAATTATTGGGAAGTGTGGGTGTGGAGCAGAGGAACAGCGGGGGTACTCGTGAGCACCAGGGTAGGGCAGGGGGCGCTGGGGTCAGCAGCTGGAGCATCTCCATGGAATGAACTGCTCTGCCCTGCGACATTCTCCAGCTGTGTTCAGCTGATCAGGTGCAGAGGGCCAAGAGAGCAGGTGACAGGGTTCCTGCAGGGCTCGGATTTGTCAGATGGCTGGGGAATTCCGGGGAGCAGGAGCCTTTCAGGTATTGGCAAGAGCATTGTTGAAACGACTAATATGGAAGTTTAAGAGAGGTGAGGGTGAAAGTGAAAGCTAAAGCACTCAAAACTTACTGGTGTAACAAGGTTTTCAATTAAGAAAGCAGCCTATTCAGTTTATGTGGAAAGACAACACATACACACAAACACACACACATATCACATGTGCACCCCTACATTCCACTCTTTTTTTTTTTGTGGTACGCTGGCCTCTCACTGTTGTGGCCTCTCCAGTTGCAGAGCACAGGCTCCGGACGCGCAGGCTCAGCGGCCATGGCTCACGGGCCCAGCCGCTCCGCGGCATGTGGGATCTTCCCAGACCGGGGCATGAACCCGTGTCCCCTGCATCGGCAGGCGGACTCTTAACCACTGCGCCACCAGGGAAGCCCCCCTATGACCCACTCTTGCTTTGCAACCCAGGTCTCTTCCCTGAGCCAGATTTGAAAGACATAAAGAGTAGCGTATTTCCCTGAGATCTGCCCTTTGGGCCGAACCACTCCCCTCAGAAGCAATGGGAGAGGAGAAAGGGGAGTCCTGCTAAGGTGATGTGAAGCTCACTCACATGGCTGTCCAGACCTTGTCCACACCATCCACTTATGCCATTCATTGAACTGAATTTCTCCCCTACACAGGCACAGGCCCAAGGAAGGGGCTGCTGCACCACCGCTCAGAGCACACTTACCAAATTTACAGGACCCAGTTTGGTTGTATATGAAACCCATGGGGATGTTCCAGCCTGCAGAAGTGCCAACTGCAGTGTGGCAGGACTTCTTGCCTCGCAGAGAATCCCAGGTGAGGTCAGCATCTGACTTCTTGACCACTGCCACGACGTAATAACCTTGCAACAGAGATACCAGGATGCAATTTCAATACCTCCAGGGCCCTCCCAAATGTACTGCAGAGTTGCTGCCTGCCAGTCTCCCAGGGGAGGGGGAACAGCTTGAAGCCCTCACCTTGCTCTAGCAGATCCTTCCAGTAACCATCATTGTTAGGTACTCAGCCAAACAGAGCGACTCTACTGCTCTCCAGATATGTCTCCAGGCATACACTCACAAATATTTACACACACACACTTCATACTTTTTCAACAGAATCCTGCCAGTGCTTTATTCTTCCTCAATGATATACCTTTTTGATTCAGTAGAAATAGATATGCCTGTCTCATTCTATTTATTAGTTGAATCTAAGTTATGTCCACTGTATAGAAGTACAGTGTTTTATAATCCCCCTACTGGTGGGCATTGAAGTTGTGACCCATTTTTCCCCATGAAAAATCACTTATCTAAATAAAGCTTTGTATGGAGTGTGCACCTGCTTAAATATTTCTGTTGAATAGAAGTCCAAAAGAAAGAGCTTTAATGACTTCTTTTTTAAAGTCAGGTCTCTGATTTTCTAGGTTTACAATAATACCATTTTCTAATAATGACAATTTAATCTCTTCCTTTCCCCAATATATTTTTAAAATATTTTTCTTATCTTTCTGCATTCACTTACAAAATAATGTCAAATATCTTTGGTGGGTGTGGGCATTCTTGTCTTCTTCCTGATTGTTATGGGAACACCATTGATACTTGATGTATTCCTATTGCAGTAGAGTGTAACAGAATCCTGCTTGTTGAGTAAGGCCTAAACTGCAAGGCTGAATTTAGAGACTGGAATCATGGGTAATGTGGTTCCCCACCACCACTCCCACCACCCCCAACACACACACCCTGTCTTGCTGTTGTGGATGAGGTATCTATATATTCATGCCTGGAAAATTTGGGAATCAACATGGCAGTGGAAGACCTGCCCACCAGTTACTAAATGATCTCAGACAAGTCGCTTAGCATCTAGGATCCTAAATTTCTCCTCAGTGAAATGGTAACAGTAATGCTAATATGAGCACACTGTACGTTAGGAATGGGAAGGGGAGGTTACATGGATAGGTTTCCAGCCATATTGCTAATGCAGAAGCAGTACCAGAGCCCCTTTCTTGGTGAAGCAGATTCTCCTGAGGCCACCGCAAGCTCTTGCCTATCCGACTGGGTTCTATTACGCCATTCCGGCGGCCAAATACTGTTACAGTGCCTTTCTTGAGCTGTAACAATTTCTGCACAAATGGTATTATTTATTGTCATCTGGTGTGTGTGTGTGTGGCTTTGGGATTAACCCCTCTCCATCTCTACTCCAATCTAACTTTCTCCATTACCCTGAACCGTCTTCTAAGCATCCTCATTGACCTACATTTGTATATCACTGCAGTTCCTGGAAATTTCAATCACTTGTGAATCAATTAGAATTCTTTCTGACTTTACGTATTTTATAATCAGAACAACGAAATGCCAGCCCTTAGAGTTGAAGATACAGATCCAATTCAGAGAAGACAGAAAGCTGTGAAAGCAGAGGGAAGAGGGACAGTTGACCCCAGGGCTGGGGTCCTGCTGCAAACAAAGGGCAGCTGCTGCAGGGTGAGTGGCTTTGCCCCCCTGAGGCCTTTGTGGAGGCGGGCGGTGCAGGGCCTCAAGACCCCAAGCTTGTGTGCCCGCCCACCTCCTGCAGCTCTCCTGTCTCATAAGAAATTCCAAACCCAGGTGAGCACTTGTTTTCATCTCAAGATCCTCCATCACGATGGTTTCCAAAGCTTAATATGCATCAGAATCATCCCAAGGGCTTGTTAAAACACAGAGCAGCGGCCCCATCCTGGACCCCAGCAGACCTGCAGTCAGACTCAAGAACGCTCACATCTAACAAGTTCTCAGGCGACGCTGATGCCGCTGGTCCAGACACCACACTACCTAGAGAACCACTGCTCTAGCCAATGCCCAACACTAGGTACCTCAGGGACAGACACAGAACCTCTCTGCCCATGTGGAGACATGGATGGGAAAACTCGTCACCTGGTCTCCTATTCGGAAGAGGAGGTCACTCCCCAGCTATTCAAAGCCAGCCACTAAAAGCTAAAGGGCTGATTTCATCTTCATCCTCCTCCTCTTCAGTAGCAGCATCTATGACTCCCCTCCTCCTCCCCCTCTGAGGCATCCACTGGGCCCCAGAAATGTCAGGAATGGGCTCCTGCCCCGGTGCAGACATGGGTGGCAGTATGTGACAGGGAGCACTGCGGTGGGTCAGGAAGGGCAGGGGTCTCCAGTCACGGCGCCTCTGCCCATACCCAGGTGCAGCCACTTCCTGGCTGTGTGGCCCTGGGCAAGTCACACCGTCCCTGAGCCTCACTTGCCCATCTACGTGATGCGGCCAGCGATGTGCATGTTCTAGAGGACTGCTGAGCAGAGTGAGCAGAAGCAGTCCAAGCAGGAGCCCTCTGTCCACTGTGACATGCCCCACGACAGACCTGCTCCTTCACGATGGACTGCGGCAGTGTCATCTCTCTCTCTCTCTCTCTTTTTTTTCAAACAACTCTACTAACTTCGGTTTATTTGTAAGGCTTTCCTCACCCCCTCCCTGACAACAGGACTTTATCTTTTTTTGTGTGTGTGTGGTACGCGGGCCTCTCACTCTTGCGGCCTCTCCCGCTGCGGAACACAGGCTCCGGACGCGCAGGCTCAGCGGCCATGGCTCACGGGCCCAGCCGCTCCGCGGCATGTGGGATCTTCCCGGACCGGGGCATGAACCGTGTCCCCTGCATCGGCAGGAGGACTCTCAACCACTGCGCCACCAGGGAAGCCCAGGCCTTTACCTTTGAGCCCCAGTGTTACCGATTCTGACTCACCTTCCACAGGTGTGTTCACACACTTAGACCCAAGCTGCTCTTTGCCATCTTGAGACACTAAAAAGAAAAAGAATTGAGGTACAGGTCATTAAATTCTCACATTACTCAAGTCCTGACTTTCTCAGTCTCAGTAGTCAAGAATAAAATGAGAAACGCTGCTAAGCAGTTTATCATTGGCCATCAACAAGGCGAGATCCTGCAGTCCTATTTCACCTACTCTCTCCTGACCTTTGCCACTGGAACATTAGGTTCCCTCCCAGAACATGCCCAACATTCAGGGAATTACAGAGAAAGAAAATGAGATGCTCATTGAAGGGGGTGGGGTGGGGAACAGAAGCCACTGAAGACCTTGACAGAGATCCTTTCGATTTGCTGTGTGATTCTAGGCATACGGACATTCTTCCCTTCCGAGCTCTGGGCTGTGTAGACAATCCTTGTAGTCATGCTGTGTTGGAGGGGAAGGATCCAGCCCATGGTTCAGAAAGACCTGGTTGCAGTCTTTATTCTACCTTGGACACATCATTCAACTCCCCCAAGCCTTAGTAAAATGGAGATACCACTATTTACTTCATAGAGTTGTTTTGTTTTGTTTTGAAGGATAACGTATGGTTTCTCACTCACTGCATAGCAGATGAGGCATTTAACAAATAGTGGTGAAATCCTCTTTTCCCCTGGCTGTATTTTTCCAGGTGGAGGGATCCCCACAAAGACCATGACCTTGTGGCCCCATCCATCAATGTCCCAGTGCATCTTGGGTGAGCTAATTTTGGATTAGTAAATTTGGCAAAAGGATCTAGGCACCTGTGGCTCTTTCTTTGTTGAAGAGAATGGGGAGAGGGTGGTTTCGATCTCATCTATGACAGAATGTGTTTTCCCTCTGCCCTCAGCATGCGGTCTGCCAGCAGACCTGTCCTCCTGAATTGGTGGGTGACTCTAACTCAAGGACAATTTGACAAGCCCCATGGCTAGCTCTATGCCATGCCCTCCAATATCACTCTTTCAGTAATAAAGGTTTTATTTTGATTTCTTTCAGGCTAAGTTCCGCATCTATATCTTAACTGGTTCTGACTCTGGGGAAGATAGATGTTATCTACTAGCTCCCTACACTCCAGATAACATCTATTGTTATCTCCACATCGAACTAAATTATTTCCTCACCTTTCTGTGTCCATAGCCCAGAAGGAAGAAAACACAGAGACCCTCCCCTCCACTTACAGTAGTTCTCTGCCAGGACAGGCACCAGACCACATTTGCCCGCTGTGTAGATGAAGCCTCCATCCAAGCTCATGGCATCAGCCTCTCCTTTCTGAAGTTAAGAAATAAACCAATAGCACAACAGTGAGGCTGTTATCCTGTCTCATCCTCAGAGGTTTCCATCTCATTGGCTTAATGTCACACGTCCTTGTGATAAACCAAATGGTGTATGACCCAGAGCTTCTGCCACATAAACACAGGGTTTAGAAAACTGGACATGCCTTTAGCCTGTTAACCCAGAAGCAAGCACCCAACCCAGGTCATGCTCCCTGGTCATCTCTGTGCCCTCGCATGAGACCCCGTTCTGAGTACTGGACATGCCATCACTACACTTTCTTTGTGACCATTGTCACTCACTCGACAATCAGACTCAGAGTATGTGTCTAATCTGTTTCTATGGAACACGTTTTCTTCCGTATGGCATAGTTCAATTCTGTTCTTATAACCCCATTAGTACTCTAATTAATAATTCATTAATAATTAACTTATGATTTTAATCAATGAACTTTTCCAACAACAGAGACAAAAAAATGCATACTTATATTCATAGATAAGGTCATCAAGAAACAAACACACAGACACAGGCACTCTTTGCTCTTCTCCTGTTAATTGCTCTTCTAGAAATCTATCTTAAAACACTAGTAACTACAGAAGCAAAAGCTTATCAAGCCCCTACTATGTGCCAGGCCCTTTTCTAAACACTTTACAATGATTTCCTCATGTACTCCCTCACAGAACCCAGTAAGGTAGGTACTATAATTCTCCCCCTTTTATACCTTAGTTAACTGAAGCAGAGAGAAGCTAAGTAATTTATCCAATAGATGGTCACTAAGACTTAGGTAGTTTAATTCCTTAGCTTCTGCTCATAACCACTATGGAATGTGTCAGCCTCCAGGATCTGACTAATCCAAAGGACACATCCCTAAATACTATTCTAGGTACGTTTATTTCATCCACAAAATGGGTGAAAAATCTACCTCATAGGCTCATCATGAGGAATAAATGAGTTAATACAAGTTAAGAGCTCATACATATGCATGGCACATAGTAAGTAACTCCAGACATATTCACTGTCATTAATATTAAAGATATACTTAGAAATATTGATGGGTATAGAACAAAAATATTCAATCCTATATTGTTTATAACAGCAAAGGATTTGGAAATCATTCAGATATAGACATTTAGAAATTGGTTGAATAAATATTTGGTGGACTATTATGCAGCCATTAAGAACATTTTAAATGAATACTTCATTACCTAAAAAGTGCACCAATTGTGCTCAAGAATTGAAATCATAATAACAACTGTTAACATTTATAGACTGCTTATTATATGCCAGGCAATGTTACAAGTGCTCAAATTCATTTAATTCTTATAATTGACAAATTTAGGAGACTGTATAAATAGCAAGACTTTAATCTTAGACATTGGTCCCAGGGACGTTTACCAAAATTAGATCTTCTTTCTTAAGAAAAATTGTAGTCTCCTACGCTTGTCATTTTTTCAATCTTTTATTTATAAATTTTTTTCTAATCTCAAAAATATTGTCTGCTCATAGAGAAAATGGACAGTTGATACCAACACAACATCATAACTCAGAAATTATGTGGTGCTGATTTCTAAGTTATGAAGTTGTAAATGATATCATTTATTTTTCAATTCTCTTCCAGCATGTAATAATTTTATCCCCAGAAAAAAACCTGAACCTGTCCAGAGAACTGAAAAGGTTGATTTGCTTTCCCAATCCACAGGGGTCCTGACCACACCCTGGGGTGTCACCCAGCTTCCTAGGCAGGACCCCTCAGAGCTCCCTGGGCTCCAGAGCAGAGCTCCTAAGCAGTCTGGGTCCTGGGCTGCTCTGTGTTTCCGCCGGCCCCCGAGCGGGAGGGGCCTGTGGGAGCAGCAGGGTGTGGCTTTCGAGAGCTGGGGGTGGGGGAAGGCAGCACGTAACAGGTGCGTCTCAGCCTCACAGCTGATGGGAAGACATCTGGGAAGGGGGCTTCACCGCCAGACTGCAGAAGCGCTGCGTGTCTGAGTGTCAGAGCCCAACTGCAGGAACGGGGCCCTCCTTACTGCGACGGCGGTGATGCAGCCCTCCGTGGTCTCCTCCGCGGTGCACTTCAAGATGCCACCGCTCAGGGCACTCCACTCGTCACACTTGGCCTTCTCGTGCTGGCCCACTGCGCACCACATCACCCTCTGGGGGTCTTCTGTCCCTAGGTCTGGTGGAGAAGAGCCAGGGATCCAAAGGAAGCCCCCAGATGGGGGAGGGGAGGGGGGCGGTTAGCGCCACTGTCTTACGAGCAGCTGCCCAACAGCAGAGTTGGCAGCAGTGTCTCATGCCCATGTCACCGCTCATTGCTGCCTATCACCTCCCAGGAGAAATGGTGAACTCGGTTCCCAGAAAGAGCAGTGAAGGCAGAGCCAGCACCCTCCTGACCTCCCCTACTCAGACGTCACCACCCCAGGGGAGGCCTCTCTGAGCACCAGCCTGGCTCAGGGCCTTCTGGGGTTTTCTCTTCCAGGATGGGGTTCTCCCACTGAGGGAGCATCCCCTAGTTGGAAGCCAGTGTCATTTGTTCTGGGTGGGCCTGCTTGCTCTGATGCCCACATCAATCTCAGTGGCTTTGGTACATGCTGCATAACTACTGGTTAACTAAATGAAGGGGGAAAAACAAAAGGAAAGAAGGAAGGAAGAAATAAACCATGGGGATCCAAGGGAAAGCAGGCACTGGATTAAAACCCTCTGAAATTCTAGCTGTGTTCCCGGTGGTGGCAGAGGCTGTGTTCCCACTGCAGTTTAGGATGGGCTATTTTCCCTGTCAAACAGACCTACTGCAGGGTGGGGCAACCCTGGTTCACACAAGGGAGCCAGGACCATCATTACTTCAAGTTGCCTGTAATCTGAAGGTCTTTCAAAGCCTTTTGTGACCCCCTAATTCAGGCCTTTTCCCCAGATCAGCAGAAAATCCTTGCATGAACCCAATGCAGGTGGTAGTTCCCTTGGGCCCTGCAGCCCAGTGAAGGTTGGGTGAGGTGAGGCTTGTGGGCACCAGGAAAACCTCTATGGCCACACCCTGCCCCATGTCCAAGCTCTCCAGGTCCCCCCGCAGGACCTTACACACCACTCATTAGATGCTGGATGGCAGAAAAATGCTCATATCCCAGGTATAGCTTGGCGTCCATCTTAGGTGGGACTCTTAAAAACCCAAGGGCGGCGTCCGTAAACAGCAGGTCCTTTCCATGAGGAGAGCCGAAGAGCTGGAATTCTGCTGACTTGTCTTTTCCAAAATTTTCCTGTTCAAAGGATAAAAGAAACAGTGAAGAAAGGAGGCTAGCATAAGGAAGTAAAGGAAAAACAAACCCCAAACCAGACAAGGAGAGCAGAGAGCGAGAGAAATATGAGTGCCTGAGAGTAAAGACCATGCCAAGGCCCTCCAAAGTCCCTGTGGCTCATGGGGTTCTCAAATCTTCTCCAGCAAATCCCAGCTTGTCTGCTTTGTGGGCCTCAGAGAGACTGCCAGGGGCTGCCCCCAGGTCTGCATAAAGGGTAATGGTCACCGTGGGCCAGGCAGCTGCCCCTCTCCTATGCTGCATTCCCATGGGGCAGCCAGTGATGGTGGCCTTGTTGCTGGCCATCTGATTGCCCCAAGTGGCTCCGGTGGGCTTCATCCTGGAGTGGGTGCTGATCCAGGACCATCAAGCCTGGAGATCAGAAGTCCTGGGCGCGTCTGCCACCCCAAGCCTGCCACTGAAGGCCTTCAAGCAGTCCCTTCCTCTTTCTGGCCCCCCCCCAAAAAGCGAAGGGCCCTTTGCGTATAATTCCCACTGACTGGCCCAAAGCCATTCCTGATGGTAGCTGACGGTAACACCTACCCACACACTCTTTGTGACGTCTGTCTGCTTTTTGCTTTTGCAGTGGCTCTGCATGTTGCCTTCTCTGGCAAACCCCACATTTCCTTGGGGTGCCCACAGCTTACCCCGGGGCCCAGGAACCTTTCCAGGTACGCCCTGCAAGTCAGTCCCTTCAAAGTGCATAATCCATGTCCCCAAGGTTGCGTCCTCTGGTGATTAGCTGTGTGTATAATGTGCTCACCGTATCTTCCACAGTCATCTGTGAGTGACCCAAGGGCAGGTCTGTGTCTAGTTCATCTCTGACCACCCAGTGCTGAGCAGAGGGTGCTGACAGAGATGGGACAGGTGACCGGATGAGGGCGGGCTGGGAGAGAGGGCCACCAGCGCAGGACACAGAATGCTCACAGCCGGGAACCTGCCGCTGAGGGGTCCCCACCAATGGGATAAGAGGGGAGCACCTCATGGAGGAACGGCACCTGCATTGTAGCCTGAGGACCTCTTTACAACTGAGAAGAATAAATTGGGGCAACAAGGGGCTTCTGTGCAGTCTTTGGCCCATGGCGTTGATGATGCCAAGGGAGGGAGTTTTATGGCCACTGCTGCCCATCACGTATCCAGACCGAGGGCTTATCAGTGAAGCGGAGGACATGTGGCATGGTTCCCGCTGTGCTGGACACCCACGACTTCCACAGTGGCTAGAAGGGAGTCAACGAGAGCGCCCCAAATCTAAGCAGAGACCCCTACACAGGAGGGGAGGATGGTGGGTGGGGCTACCTGGGCCAGGTTGAGAAGCTCCCAGATCAAGTCCTCCTTGCCGCCCATGCTTCGTGCCACGACAGCGTGGGAAGGGACCCGGGCCAGGTGGCACCTCTTGTACTCGTCCACAGGCCCCCGGGTGTTGTCCCTGCAGAGCAGCTCATACTCGTCCCTGTCAGCCTTGTCAGCCAGGTTCTCTGTGGAGGGAAGCCCACATGAGCCGACGGCAGGCAGAGAAAGAGGTGTGGTCCCTGCCCCTCCCTGTATCCCAGATTGTTTGGGGATTTGTTGAAATAACTTTCTAAGCCCAAGATGGAGCCGCTCCTGCCTGGGATGCCAGGTCACCACTGAAACTTAGATAACTTCCTGTGCCTGTAAATGTTCTGCCTGACCAGAAACACAGTCTATCCAGTCAGCCAGGCCCCCAGTGCCAAGCCAACTCTGGGTCTATACTTCCTTCCTTCTTCCTTCTCACCCTTGGCAATGTGGCCCCAGCCAAACAGATATTATCTATTTTTCTCTTAGTTGTTCTTTACCCTATCAAAGCTTCCTGCCTTCTGCCCTATTCTGCAGTTCTCTGAATGGAGACTGCCCACTTCAAGAAGTGTTGAAGTTTGTATCACCTAAACTGTCTTCTTTAATCATTTTTTAACAGCCTGAGGAGGACTAAAAGAGAATCTTTTCCAAATACATTTTATACAGGTGAGGATGCTGAGCCCTCAGGAGATGAAATGACACATTCTCACTGCAGAGAGACCCAGGGCTGGGAGGCATGCTCAGCCCAAGCCTCTGCTAACAAGGATGATGACAGCAAATGTTTTCTGAGAGCTCACAGCACACCAAAGACTGACCTGAAGGCTCTCCATGCTCTGTCTCGTTTAATCCTCATAACAACTGGGGGAGGCTGGTAGATTATCCAGATTATCCTATTCTAGAGATGAGGAGACTGAGGCTAAGAGGGTTAAGGGAACTCATCAAAGTCTGAGTTAGTCTGTGGCTGACACAGCGCCAAGCTAGGACAATGAAACTCAGAAACTTCTGCTTAAAAGACAATGAGGGATCTTATATAATAGTGGACATGTGACTTTCAGCAAAGGAAAATTGGGATGGTCTCGGACAATTGGTTGTTTTCAGAAAGTGAGGATGTTTTCAGTTCTCCAGGGTGAGCATTAGAAGATGCTACCCATTGGCCTAACTGTGCCAACTTGAGCAGCCAGAGGAAATAACAATGACGGCTATCGGGAACAACTTGATTCTGGGAGACAAAACCCATAGATGACACCACTAATTAAAATTATTGATGATAAGATACACATGAATTGCCAAAATGCTAGCAAACCAGGTCAGTGTGTGATAATGAGGGGACAGTGAATTGTGAACAGCTGAGCAAGGGAACAAAGCCACTACGCTTCTGCTCCACGTCAGGGAAAGACACCAGGCTGCGAGGAACCAAGGCCCCTGGAAAAAGTGAGGGCTCAAAATTCTCCTTGAGGTGGCAGACACATTTTAAAAAATGAACCTAGCATAAAATACACATCTCTTGTTTAAACATCCTAAGTGATACAAGTGTGTTTTGTATCTAACAGAAATTTAATTGGTTATAAAACCCAGAATCTGTAAACTGAACTTGTCTGAAATATTATTTTGTTTGTTTCTGATAAACTGCCCAAAACTCTGGAAGGTTGTTTTTTTTTTTTTTAACATAGAAATACATCTTTGTCCATGGTAGTAATGCTTTTGCAACAGATTTAATTATAGATGTGCTAATAAGTTCTGAAATCATTATAATAATCTGTGTTTGTTTAAGGTGATTAAAGCATTTAGGAGCCCTTCATAATGAAGTATTCAGGAGAAAGTGATTAGATCGGAAACTGGTATTCCAGTGACTAAGAGAATCTGATTATTAAAACTTGTTTTATTAGTTGGTAAGTAATGCTTAAATGCTCAGATTTGTTTGGTAGATTTATAGACTGAACAAACTGAGCACTAAACAAAGTACAAATAGTGGAAGTGTTTTTTATACAGAAACTCTCCTATTTCATTAAGATCTTAGCACCACCCATCTCTAGATGTAAGGCGGCTCAGGAAGGAATGAGTTCCTCTGGCCAGAGGGTGGCCCGCAGGATTCTTCCTCCATCCGGCACTTACCAAACACCGTCATGTGCCTCACGAAGCTCACGTCCCCCACACTGTCCTGAAGACACCTGAGGACCAGGACAGCTGTGGTCAGGCGCTGTCCACAGCACAGTCTCGCCCCTCCCCCAGTACCCCCCTCCCTAGGCTCTGCCCCGGGCCACTGGCTAACAGGGCTTCACCCACAGTTTCCCAGGCTTCAGTCTGTCCTCACAGAGGTGATGGCCCTGTCTGAAGACCCTTTGAACCCCCACAGCCAAGCCAGGTCTGAAGCAAGCAGGAGCCCCCTAAGCTACATCCCAGGCAACTCTGGGGAGGGAGGCTGCAAAAGAGGAACCCACCACCTTCCTCTTCGAAGGCAGCCAAAAGCAACAGATTAAAAAAAAAAAAAAAAAGGTTTAAAGCCTTTTACATAGAGGTTAAAAACTCTAGACAGGCTTGGACTCCCGGCCAGTTTTGCTCTGGTTTTGAGCAGCAGCTATGTCTCTTGCAGGGCGTGGAGTATGGAGAGGTGCCTGCAGGCAGGGGGCTGAGAGGGAGGTGGGGAGAAGCAGCATGCGTCCCTGACACAGAGATACTCAGGTAGAGAGAAGCAACTGGTGTAGGGGAGGGTTCCCAGCCCTTGGCCCAGCTGGGAGTCCAAGCCTGTGTCCATGGATCCCAGAAACCTCCCTGGTCCAGACCCCTCCATCTGGGGAGACGAGCGGGGCTCCCCCACAGAAGACTGCCCCTCAGGACGGGCAGGAACGAGGGTGGGCCATGGGAGGCACTCGAGACCCTGTGTTTCACACCGACACTCTAGGTGGTCTGGGGCAGGCCCCGTCCACTCCCTGTGCCTTAGTTTCCCCATCATCAGAGTGAGGAAGAGGAGCAAGGGGGCCCCACTCACTTGAAGGCCCCTGAGTAGCCGAAGTACGGTTCGTGGGAGTTGCAGGCGCACTTGTCGGTCCCCTTCCCCGCACACAGTTGGCACAGTTTGGGGAAAGCCGTCTGATCCGCACAGGGGACGCAGCTGTCCGCGAAGAACTTAGCCGCTGCTGCTCAACACGGAGACACACGGACCTCAGGGCATGAGCTGCCGGGGCCCCTTGGTCACGCATGCGTGTGTGTGTGTGTGTGTGTGTGTGTGTGTCCGTATGTGAGAGCCCAGAGGTCTGCATGCACTGCCTGGGACTGTCATGAGGAAGTGGGTGTGCAGAGGTGGCCGACAGTGCCCGGGTCTGAGGGCGTGGCTGGCTCACGCGTGGTCCCGGGGCTCCAGCCCAAAAGAAGCTTCCCAGCCTGTCCCCTGCAGGGTGCGAAAACTGCTGAGCTGCACTGACCCAAGCTGCAGCCCCAGCACCACTCACCTGGTTAGCTCACCAACACGGAGGCTCGGGGGTGGTGGGGGAGGCCGCAGGACTCTAAACACGCAGGAACCCCCGACAGCCCTTCCTTATCTCAGGACGTGGTCCCACCCACCCCTCTCCTCTTCTGATCCAGGGTCTGTGGTGGCTCCCGGGGATCCCTCTTCCAGGAACTCATGGGAGGGGGTTGGATTAACTTGCCTCATGGGCTTGGGGGTGTGCCAACAGCCACATCATAACCGCCCAGACAGACGTCCCACAGCGTCTGACACTGGGGCAAGCAGGAACCCCAAGAAAGGGCAAACATAGCCAGAGCTGTGGCCCAGGCTGCAGCACCCCATCTGACCTCTGCAGCCCCAAACACAGGTGAAACATAAATGCTGCAGAGTCGGCAGGGCTCAAAAAGACACAATTTTGCAGAGCACAGAAAATTTGGCTGTCATCTTTCAGGGGCTGAAAAGGCACCCTAGGCTCACCATGACTCATCGGAACTGAACAAGAGACTGGAGTACACAAAAAATCATAGCTCTGGTCCACTCATCCCCTCTCGCCTTCATCCCAAGCCCTCACCCACAGCACTGAGGCCTGACTGCTGGCGGTATGGCGATCATCCCCAGTGAGCCTTCCTGGGCAGCTGGAAGGCAGTTCCCCTTTCTCATCAGCCTCCACGATGGCCCTTATCAAGCCAAACTGCTGGGATTACCGTGAATGTGGGGCTGCCAGGAGCTCAGAGACCGGGGTTCCTTTGCTGAGAGAAGGAAAGACTCAGCTGCCAGTTCCCAAGGCTCGCTGGTGCAGCAAACCCAGACAGCACACGTTTAAAGCAGGTTGTCCCCATCTTGGAGTTTATGAAACCTGTACGCCTGTTAGTGTTCGTAAGGCCCCAATAGAATCCACGTGGGTGCTGGGAGTAGGAGCCCTGCCTCAGGGCACCCTGTCCCAGCCAGCTTACCTTTTTCAACCAAGTCAGAGGGAAGAAGTATCCCGATGGGGATGTTCCACCCAGGAGACCATCCCAGGCCTGTGTGGCAGGACTTCTTGCCTTGGAGCTGGTTCAGCTGGAAATCGCTGCCCTTCTTCACCACGGCTACAACATAATGGTGAGTCTGTGGATCTGAAAAGGAGCAGAGAAAGAAGGGCCAAAGGAAGATGCCACATCATTGCCACTCATCTTACAGAGTGTGTGCAAAGGAACTTGGGGGGATCCTAGGACCTGCAACATCTCCTGGTAAGCAGGCAGAAAAGGAAAGGGAAAGGCCCTTGATTGACAGAAGAAAGGAAACTGCCCCTCTTCAAGGCAATACACTTGAGTTCTTTTTCTGCACCAGCTATTACAGGGCCTGCAGCTCCCAGTCATTGAGATTTACTGTTTCTCCCCACGGGCTCTTCTCCCTTCTCTGTCTGCAGCCTGGGCACGAAGATGAAGGTGTGGGGGGAAGGTATGGAGGGCGTCTCCAGGGTTTCGCCAGGGCCCTGCAAGCTGGACTCAAATTGAGACAGACCGTGCTCACACACACACTGGTGACACTCATGGACAAGTATGGCAGGCACCCCATTCTTCGCCTCCCCAAACCCCATTCTTCAAACTGTGTTCTCTAGCAACTGCAGAGGACTTGGCACACGGAGAGGCTGTCCAGGTCTGTGTGTCTCCAGAGATGGGCGACCCCACCGGGCGGGCAGTGGACTCTGGACAACATGCCCGCTCTCACTCAGCAGCACAAGCAGCATTCCCATCAGGATGCTCAGAGTTCACAGCTTCCCAGAAAGAGCCAAGATCCCAGCCCCCATGAGTTAGTGGAGGTAACAGCCTCTCACAGTCTAGAGAACTCCAGCAGCTTTGTTCCCTGCAAGTGTAATGCCAACAGAGTCCCTGCCTTCTGCTGTGGCTGCTGTGTCAGAACAGAGACCTGGGTCCCCGTGGAAGACGCACCATCTTTTGACCCGTAGAATTCTGCCACGACGGGCTTCAGGTTGTAGGGGGCCAGGCCTGCCTCAAACACCAAACCTCCATCAATGGTCACAGCATCTGCTTTGTTTGCCTGAAAGAGAAAAGGCCAGACATGAATGAAGCCCCTCACCTCTGAGGAAGACTCACCTAACCCTCTGCCAGGGACACTTGACAAGTATCGCCATGGATACTTGGTATGGCTCAGACCTCCTCCGCCTCCCTAGTGTTGGCTCAAAAGCCTTCGCAGTGAGCTTTCCTCCGACTGTGCTCTTAAAACTACCACCTCATAAATGCTGGAAGCCCTCTGTTTCTCTCCTGAGCCCTTATCAACCATCTGACAAACGTTTATTTATTGTTTGTCCTCCCCTTTGAAATGCAGCCTCCTCCAGGGTGGGGATGTTACTGTGTTGTTTTATCCTGCCAAATCCCAGCACCGACTGCCAGTAGGTGTCCAATAAATGTTGAATTGAGTAAATGAGTTGTAGAATATTTCCATCCATAAGAAGTCATGGTTTGCACTCTTGAGTCTGGATTCCCTCTTCAAGGATCTCTCAGCCAAGAATTCCTTCCTCCCTGAGAGAAGCAGTAACTTCACAGCCTCTTCTCAAAAATGAGGTTGGATTATTCCCTACCCCTCATTTCCTCATGGAAATCTTTTTTTTTCAACTGGAAGTCTGTACCTCTCAATCTCCCCCACCTATATCTTTCCTCCTCCTACCCATCTCCCCTCCGGCAACCACCCGTTCTCTGTATCTATGACTCTGTTTCTGTTTTGTTATATTTGTTCATTTGTTTTGTCTTTTAGAGTCCACATATAAGTAAAATCATACAGCATTTGTCCTTTCTCTGTCTGACTTATTTCACTTAGTATAATACCTTCTGGGTCCACCCATGTTGTCACAAATGGCAAGATTTCATTCTTTTTTATGGGTAATATTCCATTGTATATATACACCACATCTTCTTTATCCATTCATCTACTGATGGACACTGAGGTTGCTTTTGTATCTTGGCTATTGTAAATAGTGCTTTTTATTCATTTCTTAATTGACATTTAAAGTAATTTGGCTTTTTATAAATTTAATACTACATTTCTGTATACTTGCCTCCCTTTACTCCATCTCATTTTTTCTTACATATATTTTACAATGTGTATTCATATATAAGTATATGTATACATATGTATATACATATATCAAGTTAGTATTCTGTTGGTTGCATGTATCAGAAACCAATTTAAGAAAAGGAGGGATTTAGTATAAAGGTAAAAGACAAGAAGGCCTTGTGAACACCATCAAGGTCAGAAGCAACAAGAACAGGTTTCAGTCCATCCCCATGGGCTCCAGCTCATGACTGAGGTTCTAGATGGTTCTCAGTCTTTCCTCCTTTTCACACATCTTCCCCCTCCTGCCCACCTCCTCCTCAAGTTCCAGTATCAGATGCAAAGACAATAGTCTTACAGATATCTCTTAACCAGGTCCCACAATTGCATAAGGTCATATATAAATATGAATGAATTAGAGAAAATAAATAAAGTTTGTGTACATCTTTATGACCCTTAATGAATATTTCCAAATTTTTCTCCAGAAATGATGTAGAAATTTATAATTTCTAATGCCCATAGCAATACATACCAATTTCACGCAAAACTACTGGCAAGAAATACTATCATTTAAGAAATGTTATCACATTACGAGATATAAACTGCTACCTTAAGGTGGTTTTATTTGCATCCTTTGATTATTATAAAGGATGAACATTTTCCTTTCCTTACTTGTATCGTCTATTAGTTGTCATTTCTGTGAGTAGTTTGTTTATAGCTTGTTATTCTTAAGCATTTCTTATAAATTTAAATGACATCTTTACATAGCTTTTACACTACACTGTTTCGTTATAGCTGATGTGAATATATTTTTCTGTATGCTTAGGGCTTTAATTTTTTTCCTTTGTCAGAGACTTAAAATTTTTACATTTCCAAATTTGTCTACTTCTGTGATTTATCTTTTTATATCTATCTACATTAGTCAAATTGAGTCAAGCTGGGAGTTTATTTTGGTAAATGGATTAAAAATCTCACTTGATTTTATTTCTAAATGGCTATCCAGTTGTCCAACTAAAGAATCCTTTCTCAGACATTTGTTTGGAAAGTATGCCTTATCATACAATATCTAAATCTATGTGTATGTAACCATTAAGCCTAGGACCAGACTGCCTTAGTGTTGGACATTCATCATAGTTTGCATCTACATCATATCATGTAGATAATTAGACAGATGGATGTGTGTATAGAAAGCTTGGAATATGTCTGAATTTTGTTCTCTTCCAGATCTTCTACATCTGTCCGAGGACCCTGTTCTTTGTAATGCTGTTATTAAATATGTTATAGTTTCAGGCAGGCCTCAGCTACTCCCCAGCTCATTTTATTTTTCATAATACTATTTTATATTCTCACCTATATTTCTTACAAATAAGAATTGTAAACTTATTTTACTGACTTTTTAAATTTTATAATATAATTTTGATAACAATTATATTAAATTTATGAATTAACTTTGGGAAAATGTGCACATATATGAAGTTTAGTCTTCCTGTCTGGGAATATGGCATATGTTTTAATTTATTAATAAGTACTGTTCATTTGTCTCAGACTTTTGTATTACATTTATAATAATCTTGCGGATCTCTCATATGATTTTTTCCCTGCAACATTTTTCTGTATATCATTTTAAATGTAAATGAGATCACAATTTGAGGTTATTTTTCCCCAACTAGTGACTGTTGATATATGAAAATGACATTAATTGTGATATATTTATCTTTTACCAAACTAATTTTTTCATTAATAATTATGGTAACATTTCTCTTGATTCCATTGTACTTTCTAGGCATGCAAGCATCTGAAAATATTGATATTTTGTTTGTTTCTATCTCATATGTATTTTATATCATTGCATTACTAGGAAATTCCAAAAACAATATTAAGTAATAATAGTGATACTACAGCTTCTTGTTTATTTCTGAGTCTTTATAGATTTCTCTTTCAGTGCAATTCTGGCTTTGCTTTACCGTGGCCATTTTCACTGAATCCTTCTCTATCAGTTGTTTAATTATTATTATTGTTGTTTTCACTATTAATGAATGTTGAGCACCTATATTTTCATCTACACATAGTCTCTGTACTTTCAAGTCTTTAGCTTATTTCTTTCTCCTCTAAAGCATGGTCTAGTTCCTTGCTAGAGAGAAAGTTGTTCTGAAGCAATAAACTATAACAAGTACAAAAAAAGAAGGAGAAAGTATGGATTTTCTTCCACTCTTCTTAGGCAGCAGTGACTTACCACAATGGCCTTGATGCACTCAAGGTAAGAGGTTCTCTCCACACAGGTGACATGAGGACCCTCCACTGAAAGGACATTATTCATGTTGTCACGGAAGCTGTAGCATTTATTGGCCTCATGACTTGAGATAGTGCACCATCTCACAGTTTTTTCAGGGACAGCCAGACACAGCCCTACGGGAGACAGGCCAGGGGTGTAAGTGACCCACAGCACTCACCTTTCTCTGCTGTAAGAAGAAGGTAAAGACAAGGTCAAGGGTTGGCTGAGAGGGGTAGACACACATTGGACTGGCTGCCTGGCCCACATAAATTCTCAGGTCCCATTTCTCTGGTTGTGCCTTTTCCCTTGGAGAAAAAAGCCAAAGCATCCCCCAAAAGTTAAATACAGAATTATCATACGACCCAGAAATTCCACTCATAAGTATATACCCAAAAGAATTGAAAACAGATACTCAAATACATATATACAAATATTCAGAGCAGCACTTTTCACAATGGTCAAAAAAGGTGGAAACAAGCCAAATGCACAGCAATGAATGAATTGATAAGCAAAATATAGTACATCCACAAAATGGAATATAATCTACCGTAAAAAGAGTAAAGTACTGCTACATGCTACAGCACTGATAAAGCTCAAAAATAATACGTTAAATGAAAGAAGCCAGACACAAGAGGCCACACATTATATGACTCCATTTATATGATATATCTAGAATAAGTAAATCTACAGAGGCAGAAAGCAAATTGGTGGTGGCCAGGGGCTGGGGAAGAGGAGGATGGGTACAGGATGCTCTCTTGGGGTGTTGGAACTATGGTGGAACTAGATAGAGGTGGTAGTTGCATAACCCTGTGAACATACTAAATACCACTGAATTGTACACTTTTAAATGACTAATTTCATTTTAGTGAATTTCACACCAAAAAAGAAAATAGCATTATGGGAAGGAAGATTTGGGCCTAATGATTTAATCTTTGTCTTGGCATTAGATACTCTAACCTTACATGGTAGTAACTGCTGGGGCATTAAAATCAGTGTCTGTTCATTTCACTGGCACTTTAGGCTGTAGTAATTAGTGTTAACAATAATGCAAAGGCAAAATGCTGTTTACAGAACTGTGGTATTTGAGCAAAATGTCATCTTAGATGAAATCTGGCAGATGCAAGTAACAGCAGTCACAGCTATGAATTTTTGAGAAGGCCCTGTGTGTCAGGCCAGGCACATGACCCTCCTCGAGTGCCCACAATTGTCCTGCTGGTTAAATACTGGTGTTCCCATTTTGTAGATGAATTTAAACAAGCAAACAAAAAAAACTGTCAGAGACATCAAATAACTTGAGATGAAGCTAATACTTGAAACACCCAGGTCTGTTTGACTCCAAAGCCTGTATTGTGTTTTAACTGTCTGCAAGTAGGAAATATCAAAATAAATGGGACAGGAGATGTCAAATTTCCTTAGAGAGAATCCCATACCAAAGACAGGGAGTGACAAATGGAGTGCTTCAGCTCTGTTTTGAACAGGTCTTCGATAGTAGCCGCCAGGGTAGAAGAGCCAGTGAGAGAATGGAGCTGTCAGGACAGATGCCCTTGCGCAGAATAGAAGTGTGTGGAGTAATAGCTCATATTGCACTTTGAGCCTTTCAAAGCATGTTTACTCTGCTTGCCAATACAGATTCTTAAAACGTTTCTGCTCTTAGAAATGACTGATAACTGTAGAGACAATACAACTCTATAAATGAAAATAGCTTTGTAAGCAGGTTAAGTTACACAAAGAGCCACTGTATACAATTGCAGTTTTTTTTTTTTTTCGAAGGTTTGCACTTACTGAGAAAGCCTTTTTGAAAGTCTATTTTCAGTCACCTGTGCTTATGGTCAAATGATTAAAACTGTAGCTTTTGAATTTCTGATGTTTTTAAATTATTTATTTATTTATTATTGAATGAAAGATTCTTTAAATTCTACCGTGCTTTACAATTTCCAAAAGTTTCACACAGATAATTTCATATAATCCTATAATAACCTTTTATTCCCTCTCCTACCTATATATTGCCCCTCATCCCCTCCCTCTCCCCAGTGGTAATCACTAGTTCATTCAGTGTGAGTATAAAATAGGGTGAATGATATTCACATCAGTAGGGGAAACGCTAAAGTCTGGACAAAAACATGGTACTAAAGCAGGGAACTAAACAAATGCAAAACAAATAAAACATAAAACAAACAAACAAAAAATCAAACCAGGATGGGCTTCTATTTCCACCTATGAGAAATAACTGATATGGGACTTGCCCTAGCACTTTAAACAGGTGAGAAAAAAAAAAAAAACCTGGGGAAAAACATACGAAAAAAATGTTTTAACACATTGGACAACAGGAAGTGCAGGACTGTGATCCCCGAGAGAAGGGAAACAAATAAAGTAAGCCCTGTAATCACACTAGCTTTCTTCCTGGACAAATGTCCAGATAGCAGGGCAGAGAAGAGAAAAGAAACAGCCCGATGGTCACCCCAAGTTGAGGAGACAGAGACCATAGTTTGGTAAGGTGGAGGCAATTAGAATGTGCAGCACAGGGTACCAAAGAGCAGGGAATGCAAAATGAGAGGAGAAAGAGAAGAGAGATTGAGATCCAGAATTGTCACACCTTGGAGATTCTGGCTAAATATCAATTTGAGCATTGTGGAGGCCAGGCAAGGACAACTGCTAGGGAAAGAAAATTTAATAGGGAGCCTAAACCAAACATTTCTCAGAACTCAAATGGGGTTAGGAATCATTTGGGTTCCCACCATTCAGAGTGGAGAAAATCTTATTGAATAAATAGTGCATTTATGAAAGATTCCATAAGTAAGCTAAACTAGATCTAGAAAGAAGGGTATTCTAGACACTGCCTAAACATCTTGAAAAATAGTCTTGAGAAGGTTAAGCTGATCTGAAGACATTATGAGTGCCTGTCAGAAAAAAAGGTTGACACTCCTTAAATTAAAAAAAAAAAGCAAAAACCAAAATACAGTACTCAGCAAGGTAAAATTCACAGTATCCAGCAACCAATAAAATTAATACACAAGTGAAGGTGCAGGAAAATGTAATCCATAACCAGGAGGAAAATCAGTCAATACAATCAGAACCAGAAATGAAAGAGATGAGGAAATTAACAGAAAAAAGCTTTAAAACAGCTATTTTAAATGTTATAAGTATGCTCGGAGCGCTAAAGAAAAACATGAACATCAGCGCTGCTGGGGGATGCGGCGCTTCCTTTCTGCTCCCATGCTTGTTGTGGTGCCACCAGACATGCCCTCAACATGCAAAATGATGCCAGAGAGTTCGTGGACCTGTATTTGCCGCAGAAATACTCTGCCAGCAACTGCATCATCGGCGCCAAAGACCACGCGTCAGTCCAGGTGAACTTGGCTGAGGTTAACAAAGTAACAGGCAGGTTCAACACCCAGTTCAAAACCTAGGCTATCTGTGGGGCCATTCACAGGATGGGAGAGTCAGATGATGCCATTCTCCGACTGGCCAAGGCCCATGGCATCCTCTCAAAGAACTTCTGACTGGAGAGGATCATGGATGTGGAATATTTGCCATAAGTAAATAGTGAACCCTACCCCCAAGAAAAGAAAAACATGAGCATAATGAGGATACAAATATAAGATGTAAGGAGCCAAAAAGAATTCCTAGAAATGAAAAATAGAATATCTGAAATAAAAATTCCAGTGGATGAGATTAACAGCTGATTAGATATGCAGAAGAAAAAAGATGATCTAGAAGACATTACTACAAACTATCTAAAATGAAGCAGAGAGAAAGAAAGATAGAAAAACAAATGAGCAGAGCCTCAGTGACTTGTCATACAGTATCAAGTGATCTAACATATGTGTAACTGGAGTCCAGGATAAAAAAGGGGGGAAGGGGCAAGAAAAAATATGTGAAGAAAGATTTGGCCAGAATTTTTCCTAATATTATGAAAACTACAAACTCCCAGTTCTAAAGCAACCAGAGAAAAGAGACAAAATTAGGTACAGAGGAGCAAAGACAATAAATATCTCAGACTTTTTGTCAGAAACCACACAAGTCATAGACAATGGAATATCCTTAAAGTGCTAAAAGAAAAATAACTTGCTAACCTAGAAATCTAAAACCAATGAAAATAACTTTCAGAACTGAAGGCAAAAATAAACTTTTCCAGACAAACAAATGTTGGGAGAATTTGGGTACAGCAAACTTGCACTATAATGAATGTTAAAGGAAGTTCCAGACCCAAGTGGTTACACTCATGAAATCTATCAAACACTTAACAGAAATAACACCAATGTGGCAAAAACTATCTTATAAAGTAAAGGAGAAAGTAATACTCCTAACTCATTTTCTAAGGCCAGCATTAACCTGATACCAAATCCAAACAAAGACATTATAAGTAAAGAAAACTACAACCAAATATCCCCCATGAACATAGACACAAAAATCATTTACAAAATATTAACAAATCAAACGCAGCCAAAAAAAAATTCTTAAGTACATGAACACACACACACACACACACACACACACACACAGACACACACACACACACAGGTTTATCCCTTGCCCAGGAATGTGAAGTTGAATTAATGTGCAAAAACTAATCAGTATAGCTCACCATATTACAGAATAAAACAGAAAAATTCATACGATTATCTCTATAGAACAGAAAAGGCACTTGCCAATTCAAAATTCCAAGCAAAGTAAGAATAGAAAGGAATGTCCTCAACCTGATAAAGAACATCTACAAAAAACCCCACAGTTAATATTATACCTAATGGTGAAAGACTGAATGCTTTCCCCTTCAGGTCAGAAACAAGGCAAAGATTGACATTCTCTTCACTTCTGTTTAACACTGTATTAGAGGTCTTAACCATTTTAACAAAGCTCAAAAGAGAAACAAAAGGCATACAGGTTGGAAAAGAAGATAGAAAATTGTCTATATTCACAGATACCATGTTTCTCTACACAGAAAATTTTAAGGAATAAATGATTTAGAAAGGTCTTAGGATCTGAGGTCAAAGCGCTAAAATCAGTTGAATCTCTACAAAGCTAAAAAGAAAAAACTGTAAAATGAAACTTTAAAAATACTACTTACGGGCTTCCCTGGTGGCGCCGTGGTTGAGAGTCTGCCTGCCGATGCAGGGGACGCAGGTTCGTGCCCAGGTCCGGGAAGATCCCACGTGCAGCGGAGCGGCTGGGCCTGTGAGCCATGGCCGCTGCGCCTGTGCGTCCGGAGCCTGTGCTCCGCAGCGGGAGAGGCCACAACAGAGAGAGGCCCGCGTACCGCAAAAAATAAATAAATAAATAAATAAATAATAATACTTACAATGGCTTTCAAAGATATGAAATATCAGAACTTCCCTGGTGGTCCAGTGGTAAAAAAAAACCCACCTTCCAATGCAGGGGACACAGGTTCCATTCCTGGTGGAGGAACTAAGATCCCACATGCCGCGGGGCAACTAAGCCCTTGTGCCACAACTACTGAGCTCACATGCCTCAACAAGAGAGCCCACCTGCCGCCAACTACAGAGCCCACGCGCCCTGGAGCCTGCGCACCACAACGAAAGAGAGAAAAACCTGCATGCCACAAGTAGAGAGAAGCCTGCGCACCACAACAAAGAGCCCGTGCCGCAACGAAAGATCCCATATGCCTCAACGAAGATCCAGCGTTCCACAACTAAGACCTGATACAGCCAAGAAAAATGAAAGAAAATAAGAAAAAAAATCTAAAATAGATATATATATGAAATATTAGGGATACATTTAACAAATTATGAACAAGAACTGTACATGAAAACTACAAAAAATTTCCAAGATAAATGAAAGAAGACCTAAATAAATAGATATAGAATGTTCATGGATTAGAAAACTCAATATTGTTAAGATGCCAAGCCTCAAAATAATCTATAAATTAAATGCTATCTCAATAATAATCTAAGCCTAATTGTTTTTTATAGAATTTGATAACCTGATTCAAAATTGTGTTTGGATATGCAAAAGATCTAAATGGCCAAACCAACATTGAAGTAGTACAATAGAGTTGGAGGATTTATACTACCTGATTTCAAGACTTATTATAAAGCTACGGTAACCAAGACAGTGTGATATTGCCACAAGGAGAGATATAAAGCTTAATGTAACAGAACAGAGAGTCTAGAAATTGACCCATATATATAGGGTCAGTAGATTTTCAACAAAGCTGCCGAGGTAATTCAGTGAAGAAAGGATATTCTTTTCGAAAACAAGTCCTGGAATAACTGGATATCCATATGAGAAAAGTGAATCCCGACTCTTACTTTATACCATACACAAAAATTAACTAAAAATGTATCATAGACCAAAACATAAAAGCTGAAGCTATAAAACTTCTAAAATAAAACAAAGAGGAAACTATTGCAACTTTGGGGGTAGCCAATTATATCAATATTTTTAGAGAGGACACAAAACATAATAACAAAAAATAAAAATTAGGTAAGGGAACCCGATCAAAATGTAAAACATCTGCTCTTCAGAAGGTATCATTTAGAAAATGGAGGGCTTCCCTGGTGGCACAGTGAATCCGCCTGCCAATGCAGGGGACACGGGTTTGAGCCCTGGTCCAGGAAGATCCCAGATGCCGTGGAGAAACTAAGCCCATGCGCCACAACTACTGAGCCAGCGAGACTAGAGCCTGTGCTCTGAAACACGAGAAGCCACTGAAATGAGAAGCTCGCGCATGGCAACAAAGAGTAGCCCCCGCTCACCATAACTAGAGAAAGCCCATGTGCCGCAACAAAGACCCAGCACAGCCAAAAATAAATAAATAAAATTAATTATTTTATTGGTGGTGTGATGAATTGGGAGATTGGGATTGACATATATACACTAATATGTATAAAATGGATAACTAATAAGAACCTGCTGTTTACAAAAATAGAATTCAAAAATTCAAAAAAAATTAATTAATTAAAAAAAAAGAAAATGGAAAGCTAAGCTACAACATTATTACTCATCAGGGAAATGCAATTTAAAACCATTGTGAGGTAGTACACACACCTATCAGAATGGCTAAATGTGAAAATATTGACAACACCAAGTGTTAGCGGGATGTGGAGCAACTGAAATTATCATATTGTGGGTGGGAATGGAAAATGGTACAACTACTCAAAAAAGTTTGACATTTTCTTAACAAGTTACCATTATGACCCAGCAATGCTACTCCTAGATATTTACCCAAAACAAATGAAAATATATGTCCACCCAAAGACTTGTACACTAACATTCATAGCAGCTTTAGTCATAATATCCCAAACTGGAGACAACCTAAACATCCACTAACAAATGAATGGAAAACAAACTGTGATAAAGTCATACCATGGAATACTACTCAGCGATAAAAAGGAATGAACTTTGATACATACAACAATGTGGATAAATCTCTAAACAATTGTGCTGAATGAAACAAGCCAGTTACAAAAGACTATGTAGTGCATGATTCCATTTACATGAAATCCTAGAAAAGGAAAAACTTACCTAAAGTGGGAAAAAATGCGAATGACAGGGAAGGGGTAGGGGACAGTTTGGGAGTGATGGAAATGTTCTATATTTTGATTGTGGTGGTAGTTATGGGGGTAGGCATATTTCTTGAAATTCATTGAACTGTATGTATACTTGTAGGAGACCATTTTATTAAAAGTAAGTTATGCTTCAATAAAAATGATTTTAAAAAGAAAGAGTGTGTGCAAGCAAGCTAAGTGTCAATGGAGTCAAGTAACCTAAACTAGGCCAGCCATCAACAACACTCCATCCAACTATGTGACAATTTCAAGAAGGGGCAATCAGAGCCCACTGTGAATATTTCAATCTGCTCTAGAAGGGAAAAGCTGCTGGTGGCCACATGCTCACTGCGTGGAGAAATCTCTTCCCCGGAAGAGCAAAAGGTAGAGAAAGGAGGTGGCAGCCAAGGTGGAGGTACAGGCTGTACTGAGCCCCTGGTTCTTGGCTCTTGCAAGGCCTACTGATCACCACTCCCACTCCTCTGACACTTTTAGTTTAAGCTAGTTTGGTTACATTCCTGTCATCTGCCACCAGAAGGGTTTTCATAGGAAGAGAACACTGAGCTTTGAAGAAAGCACGTCCTCGATTCCAGCCTTGTCCAGTGGCCAAGAGAGAAGGAATGTTGGGATGGAGTGGGCGGAGGGCCAGGGAGAGGCAGCTCTTGCCTCTGTTTAGTAAACACAGAGCCGACTGGGAAAGTGAACTTTTGGTCAGTGCCTGACACTGCCAAGAGAGGGGATGGGGGAAGAACAAACAACAGAAGCCCTGTTCAGGAAGAATACGGGAGAGGCCAGGGGGCTGCACTCTGGATTTTCTGCAGCCATAGTTGGACCACAGCTGTAGCAACATTGCCAGCCTTCCCCAGCCCCATCAGAGCTCCCCGTGTGGCCCTAGGTGGCAGCACTGGGCCAAGGAGGGCCACCCCCATCCCTGAAAGCACTCCTTGCCTTTCCTGCCTTCTTCTGCTCAGCCCAGGTTATGCCTCCCCCCGTGATAGATACCCTACCCCAGAAATGATTTAAGACAGCCTGAGACCTGACAGAATCAGGGCTGGACAGAACCCAGTTGTCCTGCCAGGCAGGGGTCTCCACCTGCATGAGGTTAGTGACTTTGCACCATTACCTTCCTTACAGTTACCCAGCCAAGAGCCCTGACAGCCCCCCAACACGGGACGGGGTCCCCTACATTTACGTGCAGGATTTTTTTTCCAGTGATAACTCACCTGTGCCTACAGCTCTGCCCTTAGGTACATGACTTCATGTCACTTTCACAGCAACTGTGTGTTTGCTGTGAAAAAGTAATTTCTACTGAACTGAGGAGGAAATCAGCTCAGAGAGGAGGGCAAGGGACCACCCAGTCACATGGCACCGAGTGGCAGGTGGATTCCATTCTAGGGTGATTGTTTCTCCCCTATATTCCTCCACCTGCCTAGTGTGTAGTCGGGATGGGAGGCATTGTACAGTTCAGAGCAGGAAAGATCCTTCTGGTTAGATACCTGACATGACAAGCTTACCTGATGTGCCCCTCCCCCTCTTAATAATAGTCCTTGAGCCCTCGGAAAAAATCCCTTCTCTCCTCTGACCCTGTTTCCTTCACTGTAAACTGGACGAACAGCCTCCAGGCCAGGGGTCATGAACTTTTTCTGTACTGGGCTAGCTAGGCAATTACTAGCTTTGTGGGCCATACAGTCTTTGTGGCAACTCTCTACTCTGCCCTTAAAGCGTGAAAGCAGCCATGGACAAATACCTGAATGAGCATGATCGTGTTGCAATGAAGTTTTATTTATGGACGCTGACATTTGAATTTCACATAATTCTTATGTGTCAAGCTATTTTTCTTTTTATTTTCTTTCACACGTGTAAAAATGTAAAACCCATTCTTAGCTCGTTCGGCTGTATATCAGGCAGCTGGCGGGATTTGGTCAGCTGGTCAGAGTTTGCGAACTCCTGCCCTAGCCTGCAGGGTTTCTGCAAGGGCGAAAGTTGGTCAGGTGCACTGATGAACCACCGGCGGTGGAAGGCACTTTGGAGCCAGCCAGGCGCTGGGTTGCTTCGAAGCCTCCTAGACGAGACAGTGCAGTGTCCCGCCGTGGCTGACCCTCGGCTGGCACCCGGTCCCATCCTAAACGGCCGGCCCCCACCCGGCTCCCAGTGCGCACTCACCCAGGGCCCCCGCGCACAGCACGGAGCAGACCGCGAGCCTCATTCTCCTCGGCGGCGCGCGACTCCTACCAGGCTCTCGGGGCCTCGGCCAACTTTACCTGCCCGCGAGGGAGCGGATCCGCCTCCTCCGAAGGGTTCGCCCTTCCGGCCCATCGCCCTCGCCACACCCCCACCCCTCTCCCAGACAGCTCGCAGGGGCTCGCTGCGGCTGCACCTCTGCCCAGCGCCCGGAACTGAGAGGTTGGATCTCTGCTCGCGGGCTAGTAGTCCGCACCCCGGAGGTACGAACCACAGCAACCCCGGAGCCCACTGGACAGAGAAGCCGAGGCCCAAGATGAGAGTGACCGCCCGGGCCCCAGGTTAGTTACTAGAATGCGGGTTCCTTGACCCCTGGACCTTCATCTAGACAAGCAACTCTTCGATGTCTCCAACACAGACTCTTCGGGACTGAGGGGCGGTCCACTAGGTGAGCACTGTGGACCCTTCCCCCAGGAGAGCATGTGCACACGCATACACAACGTTTTGAACGCAATTTTCAGGTATCCTCAGACTCTTCCTCCAAAAGCGTCTCGGTTGCCCACTCCGGGTCCCTCCCCCACCCCCAATCCCCCTGACACCGTCTCCTGCAACCCTGGCTGAAGTCTGAGGTCAAGTGAAGCGCTGAACCCTGGGAGGGCTGCTTCTACTCACCAGTGCAGCCCGCAGCCCCATCCTCCTGAAGTCTATGAGCTCTGCCTGGGGGAAGTCTTCCGAATTTAGATTTTTCAAAATTTTTCTTTAAGTGTAATAAACATACATAAAACTTAACATATCCTAAGTATACAACTTGAGCAATTATCACCAAGTGAGCACACCCCTGTAACCAGCACCCACATCAAGAAACAGAACGTTAACAGAGTGGGGGGTGCCTCTCCTCCAATTACTTCCCATCTCCCCACAAAGATATCCATTATCTTGACTTCTGGCAACATAGACTAATTCTGCTGACTGTTTAACTTTACAGAGATGGAATCATACAATATGTACAATGTTGCATCTGACTTCTTTCTGGTTACATTTGTAAGATTCATCTATGTTGTTGTGTATAGTTGCCCGTCAGGAGATCTTGGTGTTGCATATGACCCCATATTGTATATGCAGGACTTGCTATTTATCCTGCCTGTTGATGATAGTGGTTTCTAGTGGGCTCTTATAGTGAGTGCTGCTGTGAACATTCTAGTACATGTCTTTTCCTGCACACAGGTATACATTTCTGCAGGATATTTTCCTGGGAGAGTAACTGCTTGGTAATAAAGTAGGCATATGTTCAACTCACAGATACTGCCAAACACTTTTCCCAAGTGGTTGAACCAATTTCCACTCCCACATTAAGAGTACAAGAGTTTGGCTGTTCCACATTTTTACTGTTTTGCTGGGAGTGTTGTTGGTTTTGCACCATAATTTTGAGTTTTTCTGATGACTAATGAGGTTGAGTATCTTTATATGCTTATTAGCTATTTAAATGCCCTCTTGTTCAAGTCTTTTGCCCTGGATACATTTTAAGTAGACTTTCTCTCAAGGTAAGTATTAGGACTGGCAATATAGTAATTCAAACCACAAACCAAGACTCATCTAATAAAGCATCCTCAAAACTGAGTCTTAAGACTGTAAGAATGTATTATAATTGAATTTAAACAGTTTATTATTTTAGCCCACCATAACTCTTTATTCTGCCCCCCTCTTCTTGTGCGCAAAGGGTGAATCTTTGCTAAGGAAATACTGTTGTTTGTTTCAGCTCCTACCAAAATTATGAAAAGTTCTTCCCTCTGTCAGAGATTAACCCTGCCTTCCACTGAGGCCAGAGATAGTCCTGAGGGAGTAGGAAGAGGTTGTAAGTCACAGAATTCACAAGGTCAAAGGCATGAGACTATTATACACAAACCTGGGCTCTCCTCCCCTTCTCTTACACACACACACACACACACACACACACACACACACACACTCTCACACATATACCTCAAAGTAAACAATGTATCCTCTTCCTTCCATATCTTACAGACATCACCATCATTGGACAACTAATGGGAGATTGTCCCCATTCTCTCCCCCTTCACACCACCTCTAGCCAGCTAAGTTGAGTTTTCAATTCAAGAAATGTATTGTCTCTATGTGCCAGATAACTAGGGACAGGATAGAGTGAGGAGGGGACCTCTCACATCTGGTCAGCTTTCAAGGTGACCGTCTGGGCTTTGGAGTAAGACCAGCTGGAGGGCACAGAGAAAGGCTTAGGAGCCTCGGTCACACAAGGTCCATGCTGTGCAGAGAGGCTGTCAGGGTCCCTGAGACCACATCCCATATGCTCATGAGCTGGAAATAGCCAACATATTTCTGGTCAGAGATTAAAGCAACCTCTAGACCAGCAATCTGCTGAACACCATCTCAAAGGAAAGGATGAACATGTCCCCTCCTTGGTGAGACACTCATCAGGGGGTTCTTGGCACGGGGTTTGTCCCAGAGACTGCTATGGTGTAAACCCTTACTCTGGGCCTGCTGTGATGGTGACACAAAGTCCTGAAGGCCACCTGCTGCCCCCCCATGCCAAAGACACTAGAGGCCAGAGATTCCACGTTGGGACTCAGGGCACGATTGCTGAATCACAGCATATGCCTATGTTCAGCTTTAATAAGTGCTGCCACACTGTTTTTAAAGTAGTTGTACACTTCCCACTCTCCTCCCACTCCCACCAGCGTATGAAAGTTCCAGTTGCCTCACATCACTGTCAACCCTTGGTTTGGGCTGACTTTTTAATTTTAGCTCTCCTGGAGCATATGATGAAGTTCACTGTAGTTTTAATATTAATTTCCCTGATGACTAATAAAGTTGAACACTTTTTCACATGTTTATTGGTGATTCAGATATCTTCTTTTTATTGGATTATTTTCACATTTTTTATGTTGTAGGAGTTCTTTATTTATTCTAGATATGAGAACTGTGAAGGACATATGTATTTCAAATATCTTCTTCCATTTTATGGGTTTTCTTTCACTCTCTTGATGGTGTCTTTTAATAAACAGAAGTTTTATATATTTCTGAGTCCTATTTCAACATTTTCCTTTATGTTTAGCACTTTTTGTAAACTGTTTAAGAAATCTTTGCCTGTCCCAAGTTCATGAAAATATTCTCTTATGTTTCCTTCTAGAAGCTTTATAGTTTTACCCCTCACATTTAGATCTAGAATCCACCTGGAATTGATTTTTTTAAAAAAACACAGACATTTATTTTCCATTCATGTGAACGAGAAATTAGGTTAAAAGAAGTAGATGACTTTTCTTAACATGACATTTTTTTGCCCCAAATATTCACTCAGTAGGTCTCCTGGAATTTAACAAATGATGTATAGACCCTGTAATTTGTGCTATATAACTACAGTTATAAACTGAGTAACTTAGTGAGCTATATATAGCATGATGTCATAGAAGACAAGGCTAAGGCACATGGCCTAGATCTTTTTGGAACTGATATTTGTGAATGGTATGGGATAGAAGCCTGTATTCATTTCTCCTTCCATATGTGTGCCCAGTTGACCCAGCACCATTTACTTGAAAGATAATTCTTTTTTTACTGCACTTTAGTATAAACTTTGTCAAAAATCAGGTAACTGTCTATGTGTTTCTAGACTCTCCACTCTGTTCCACTAAGCTATATATCAACCCTTCCACTTATATCTGTCTCAGTCTCTGTAGCTTTATAATAAGTCTTGATATATCAGTGAAGACACCCATGTCTAGAGTTTTATTGGTGGAAAGGTTCTCAATTCCAGATTAAATTTCTTTAATAGCTAAAGAAATGTTCAGATTTTCTGATTCTTCAAGTCTTGGTATTGCTAAGTTTTTCAAGAAATTTACCCATTTCATCTAAATTTCAAATTTATTGATGTAAAGTTGTGCACAATATTATCTTTATTCATTTTTTATGTTTACCAGTTTGTTATAAAGGATATAGATGAATGACCAGATGAAGAGGTTCATTGGTGAGGTTTGGAAGGGTCCTGTTACAGGAGCTTCTGTCCTTGAGAAACTGGGATGCACCGTCCTCCCAGCACGTGAAAGTGTTCACCAACCTGGAAGCTCTTATACATTTTTAATGTGTGGAGGATCCTTGCTATAATTTTCTTTTTCATTTCTGATATTGGTAATTTATGTTTTCTCCTTTTTCTTGATTAGTATTGCCAAGGTTTTACCTATTTTATTAATTTTCATAAGGAGCCAACTTTTGGCTTTGTTGATTTTCTTTATGGTAAATTCACTTATTGATTTCTGCTTTCTTGACTTTCTTTGGGCTTTGTTCTTTTTCTGGATTTTATAAAAGGAAGTTAAGATCATTGATTTTCAGCCTCTCTTCTACTCTAATATATGCATTGAAGGCTACAAATTTCCTTTTTCTTGATATATTATTATATCTTTATGATTATCTAAAATATATTCAAATATATATTCTAATTCAAAATATATTCCAATTTTCATTGTGATTTCTTGTTTAACTCATAGTTTATTTAGAAATGTATTGCTTAATTTCCAGTGTTTTCAATTTCCTGGTTATCTTTTGTTATTTATGTCTAACTGAGTTCCACTATGGTACGATAACATACTCAGAATGATTTCAGTCTTTTGAAATGTGCTGAAGGTTGTTTGGTGGCCCAGCATACAGTTACTTTTTGTTGTTTAATATGCATTTTAAAATAATGAGTATTCTATGGCTGTTGGGTAAAGTGTTTTATTTATAATGCTATACATAAATCAAATACATACATATGTGTTTTATATATATATATATATATATATATATATATACACACACACACACGTTGAAAATTGTGTTGTTCAGCTCTATAATTGTTTTTATCCGATTTTTCTATTAGCACTGGAGAGAAGTGTGTTCCCCACTATGATTGTGGATTTGTCTATTTCTTCTTTTAACGCTGCTGACGTTTGCTTTATATATTTTAAAACTATGTTTTTGAGTACATACATATTTGAGATTGTGATACCTTACTGTTAGGTTATTCCCTTTATAATTCTAATCATTATGAAGT